GTCATGGTATTGGTGACACCCTCTGGAGTATGCTTAGAAAGGATGGAGCAAAGGCAGAGCCCAAAGGGATGCAAGCAGTGACTGTTCTAAGCATTGTGTTTTGTAAATTGTCTATGAAAACTTCCAGTTGACATGTGAACAGTTGACTTCTGATTTCCACCATCTAACAAGAGACATGAGTAGTGTGGTCACTAGAAAATGATCACCAGTGACTTGGAGGTGATGAAGAGTCTTTGAGACTATAGCAAAAATGCTAGAATAGGAGCATGTAAAGACTGGGCTTGAAGCCAGAGCTACACAGAGAGATGCTCTGTCTTGAAAATCCAAAAACAAAACAAAACAAAACAAAAGGATCCAGGCTTGTGTCACCACCATTCAGGACAAAAAATAATCAAGATGACCAGAAAGAGGACAGTCAATATAAACACCCACCTAAAAGTCGGTGGTGCTCTTGAGAGTTCAACAGGAAGTGTACCAGAGTAGGAATGGGCATCCTGCCAGGAGCTGTCCCTAGCAGGGCAGAATGCTAAGAGCCCTCCCAAAGCACAGGAATATTCACCAAGGTGCTCAGAGTCTATCATAGGAGAAAGCCACTGGCTATCAGTCCACAGGTGGCATGGGTGTGACCATACATTCCTCTGCTCTTAGCCAAACGGGTGTGACAGCCAGACATTAAACACCACTGAGCTGAGCATGGAGTTGCTCTCTGAAGGGGAGGTCAGAGTGTGGGTGTGCATTTGGGGCACAGTGTCCTCTGATGCCTACCTGCTGAGTGATCCCCTTCTCACTCACAAACACACTTTTTTTTTTTTTTTTTTTTTTTTTGAGATGGAAACAGAGGGAAAAAAATAAATAAGAAAACTCAGGTGATCCAAAAGCACAAGCAAACTCAGGAACTCCTGGGAGGTATAGCAGGGGGGGTCCAGGAGAGTCTGTAATTAGGATAATCCTCAGAAGGATAATGGAGAGTGGGACTTTGAATTTCTAATCAGCTCATGTGCCATCATGTTTACGACCTTCGCTGCTGCTAATGCCAGGAGTCAGCCTCATCTGTCTGAGTCACGGGGCTGTCATTCATCAGCATGCATAAAAAGCAGCGCTTTCTCTAACTTTAAACATGTTTAATCACAACAATTTATAACACCACTTTAAGATTTTAATGAAGGAAAGGCATTTGATACACACTTAGAGTAATCATAATACTATAACGATTTAAAGTATAATTTTTCACAGTGTTAGACCACTAAGCCAAGTTGTCATGTTTTTAGTTAATTATTTGAAATAGTTTAGGGGAAAATCAGCATTCAAAAATTAATTAATAGTTTTCCTCTGTATAATTGTCGGTGTCATCACTGGCTACTGCTACTGGCTGCCAGCGCCTTTGTACCCTGGCTCTAGCGGCAATCAGCAAGAGTGATTAACATTAACCACTTGTCCTAATAGCCAAATGCCAAATGTCATACCACATGCAGGATCGTAATTAGGCATTAGGAAGCGGATGGGATCAGCGTCATTAGTCAAGAATTAACCCCAAATTCAGAGCCACTTGAACTGGTGCTTGCAAAATTACAACAGCTCATCCTTGTGGATACTAAGATGTCCTTCAAGAGTGGCAACTCCATGCCCAGCTAAGAGCCTTGAAATTCCTTTTTAAAAGGATCTAAACCTTTCTTTGTCAGGAACAAAGGTTTCCACAGCTCATGTGGAATTTCACAAGCAAATTTACACACATTCTGGTTCCTCTTGAGTGGAATTCAAGCTATTTAGGTATTTGCTGTTAACCACAGCCTCATGCTTCATGGCCCTAGTGACATGTGTTTATTTGAAGAGGTAAGTCAGCCAAGCAGAGGGCCTTCCTCCATTTTCACAAGCTCTCCCTTACCCTGGGAAATGGAAGGGGCCTTTGCCAACATGATGTGATTGGAAGGAGTAAAACGAGGAGTGCCACCTGCCATTGCTGCCCTCAGCCCTTCACCTGCCTCAGCTCCCTTCCCCTCCACCTGACTTCTGACAGTCACTATTGTAATTAATGATAATTATTCTAATTGAGTTTTGTGCATTTCCTGAAACACTTCCGTTATCTTTGAAATAAGATAGTGTCTTAGTTAGGGTTATTATTGGACTGATGAAACACCATGACCAAAAGCAACTTGGAAGGAAAGCGTTTATTAGGCTTACCCATCACTGATGGAAGTCAGGACAGGAACTTCAACAGGGCAGGAACCGGGAGTGTGGAGCTGATGCAGAGACCATGGAGGAATGCTGCTTACTGACTTGTTCCTCATGGCTTGCACAGCCTGCTTTCTAATAGAACCAAGGACCACCGCCCACAATGGGCTGGGCCCTGGCCCCTTGTTCCTCATGGCTTGCACAGCCTGCTTTCTAATAGAACCAAGGACCACCGCCCACAATGGGCTGGGCCCTGGCCCATCAATCACTAATTAAGAAAATGACCTACAGGCTTTCCTGCAGCCCAGTCTTATGGAGGTATCTTCTTAATTAAGGTTCCCTCCTCTGGGATGACTACAGCTTGCATCAAGTTGACATAAAACAAGCCAGCACAGATAGGATGCCAAAATTTCCTTGAACCTATAAGAAATACCCTAAATTGTAACTTGATGCTTATTTATGCTTTTCTACACAGAATTTTAATTTCATTGTCTGATTCATGACACAGGAATGTAGAAAACCACAGCTGACAGGGTGTTATCTCTTGTTATTGTCTAGCATCATAAGGCTTCCTAATACATACTGAGATTTAGATGAGCAAGTCAGCAAATGTGTGTCAGGGTGCAACTGAGGATTTAAGGAAAAGGTAGAAAATATTTTACAGCAAACACAAGAATTGAAAGCAATACGGCTATGGTCCCTTGGTATGAGAGTGATTGCGTCTTTCTTTCCCTTTATTCTTACCTCCCTTTTCAAGCTATGGCCTTCCTAGAGGAGGAAATATTTTTTAAAGAAAAATTTTAAAAAGTCTTCTGCCTTCTCCCCCTCCTTTAATGGGGGTATAAAAAGACTTTAAACAATAAACACAGGCAGTTCAGTATTCACTGAATGCCCTCCCGACTAGGAAAAAAAAAAATGCATCATAGGACTAGGCTGTAGGTAAGCCTGTGTGTCCCTGAGTCATTTTCTTAATTAGTGATTGATGGACGAGGGCCCAGCCCATTGTGGGTGGTGTCCACCCTGGCTGGTGGTCCTGGGATCTATTTTATTTCTTTCCTTAATGTTTGCTTTATTTTGTTTGAAATTGTCTTGCTGTAAATGCACCAAGCTGTCATGAAACTTTCACTGTGTAGGCCGAGCTCACCTCAAGTTCACAAAACTTGAACCTTGCCCTCCCCAGAGTCACAAAATTCTAGGTGTTTTCTACAAAGCTTGACTTCTCCATGGATTAAGGAATACTTGGATGATTGTAGAATTGTAGTTAATGTTGAAAGTATAACTTCATTTCTATAAAAAAAAAAAAAAATAGCGCCAATGCCTTCTTAGGAGTCTCTGTCTAAGAAGGCAGAGACAGACAGGATGTGTTTCCGAAAACTTCCCATCTGGGTTACTCTGGGTTACAGAGATAGCTCAGTCAATAAAGGGTTGGTTCTGCAAGCATGAGAACCTGGATTCAGATCCCCAGAACCCACAAACAAACAAACAAGCAAACCCACAAGGGCTATGAGCAGCAGCATGTACCTGTAATTCCAGCACTGGGGAGGCAAAGGCAGAGGATCCCTGCAGCTTGCTAGCTAGCCAGCATAGCCAAATTGCCAAGCTCAAGTTCCAATGACAGAACCTGTCTCAAAAATTCAGGTGAAAAGGACAGGGAGATGACTAATGGAGATCAGGGTCCAGAGTCCCAGAATTCAAAGAAAAGTGGGATGAATATTAAAAGCTTGCTTTTAATCCTAGCAGAGAGAGAGAATTTTTGAATCACGCTGAGTTTCCCAATTAGCCAAATGACTACCTCTGAGTTCAATGAGAGAGCTTGACTCTGTGTATAAGGTGGAAAATGATTGAGAAAGACCCCTGACATCAACCCCAAGCCTCCACACACACAATCACACATACACCCTACAGACAAATGCAAATCCGAATATATAACTAAGATGGAGAACAATAGAGGAAGGCACTCAACATTGACCTGTAGAGTCTGTCTGTCTGTCTGTCTGTCTGTCTGTCTGTCTGTCTCGCTCTCTCTCTCTCTCTCTCTCTCTCTCTCTCTCTCCCCCGCCTCCTTCCACACACACACACACACACACACACACACACTTTTCATTTGAAAATAAAGTTTACAACATAAAATTTAAATGAGATCAGTTCGCCGGCTAGAAAACTAACTTACTCCTAGCAATGCCACATCTCCTGGCCACACTCCATGGCTAGACTGTTGATGAACCCATAGTGAAAGTCCTCCTCAGGTGGAAAGGACATCTCAGGTCAGTGTAAGCAGAGAATGCAGACTGTTTAGGATTAGTTCTAAGCAACCGTGATGCAGGGAGGAGCAATCCCAATCAACTCTGGGACTAATCTGACTCCCTGGAGGGTTGCTCATTACAGGTAGAAGTGGGGAATTAATAGATAACATACAAGAGTTCACTCCCTTCTCTACTAGCTGATTGCTCATTAAGAGCTCTAGACCTAATAACTTGAAACACCCTGATTCCTTCCTTGCCCATGTGTGCACCAAAATTTGGTTTCTGCAACAATGGGTAAAGAAAGAGACATTCGTGGAGGCCTGCCCCAAACTTCTGGACAAAGGATGTCTTATAAATCTTATTAGGACCTGAGACTTGACTCTGATATGATATAAATCACAGCTGTGGAACATGGCAGACCTAGATTTCCCCAGTGGCATCTTAGATCCAGAGGGAGCCTGCTTTCCTGGGGCCAGTTAAATAGAGGTGGGTCACAGATAGCAAATGGATCTCTGCACTTGGCATTTCTGTTATCATGAACAATCAAAACTGACTCATCCCCTGTTCTTTCGTGGTTGTTGTTTACAGAATTATGCAAAGCTCATTCCTGGAGCCACGGTGGGACTGCTTCAGAAGGACTCCGGGAACATTCTTCAGCTGATCATCTCTGCTTATGAAGTAGGCTATTTCCCTTTGCAAGCAGTTGGCTTTCTTTTCAGCATTCCATTGGTATCTAGACACTCAGATGTGGGTATCGAAACACACTTCCTTTTGTTGGTAGAAGGACTGCTCATCCAGAGAAAATCCCTCTGCATTCATGCAGCTAAAATATAGATTTTTATTTACTTCATTGACCCATCTTCCCAGATGGGTGGAAAAAGCAGATGAGAAAAGCAAAGTCCTGACCCCAAACTGAAGCTGTTTTAGAATGATGGCCTGCAGATGTGTGGCCTCCAACAAAACTTGAATACAACAGAAAGACTCGGAGGCATGAACTGAACTCCTCTCTGCTTAAAACAAAACAAAACAAAACAAAAATCAGCCTAAATTGCCAGTGAGTAACAGTTATGTGGGGAACCAACTCCATGGGTTCAAAGAGAGATCAAACACAAACAAAACTACAAGGCCTGACCACAAACCCAAATACTAAAAGCGTACCAAGCCCTCGGTGTATCAGGTCCCCTACTGTGTATATCTGGAGCAGCAGAGGGCCCTGTCTAAGTTTCCCTGTTGCTCCACTAAAACATCCTGAGAAGAACAGCTTAAGGGAGAAAGGCTAGTTTTGAGCTCATAGTTTCAGGTTGGAGTCCATCACGGTGGAGCAGTCGGGCAGGAGCTTGGGGGAGCAAAGTGAGGCAGGCTCTCCTCTAACTGCCACATGGTAGTTCCTTCAAGCTCCAGGAACTTTGACCTCCCCACTGTAGCCTGGAACTCTGAGCTAAAATAAACAATTCATCCCTTCAGGTGTTTCTGTCACAATATTTTATCACAAAAACAGGGAAAGATATAAGATAGATACAGATAGATTTTCGTGTGTGTGTGTGTGTGTGTGTGTGTGTGTGTGTGTGTGTTTTTGTTTTGACTTGTGAAGCCATACTGAGGACAGAATTCCCCTCCTCAACAAAGACATATATATATAAAGTTGCTGTGTTTTCTTTGTACCCATTGTCTAACTCAGGTGGTCAACACTAGATGACCAGTTGCCACTGCTCTTTTTATTTTGATCCTAAATATCATATTCCTTTCCTGACTGAAAAATTAATAATAATAATAATAATAATAATAATAATAATAATAATTGAAGGGACCAGCTCCCCATTTCGGCAGCCATAACAGCCAAACACGTTGTGCTTTATGGACAAGTGCACAGCAATGATGCGCAGAGCATAGCAACCACCCTGGGAGGGCCTATGGGCCATAACAACCAGTTGGCCAATCAACACAGGGCAAGCCCTCCAAACCTGGCGGCACACCAATCCTAAGCCTGTGCATACCCCTAGACACTCCCCTTATGCTGTCCTACAAGATCTCTATGCAGCCCCTTCGAGCTGTCTTTGCTAGCCATCCGCCATGGCAGGTGGGTGAAAGACCCGGACAACAATAAAACCTCATGCTGTCTGCATCAAGCTTTCGAATCTGCCTGGTGATTGGGGTGACCGTGGTCCTGGGCTGAGACCCCGGAGGCCTGAGTTTTCCGGGGGTCTAACAATAATAACACTCCAATTTGGACAGGCATGAAAAGTCTTTTAGAAATCATGCAGCTCTAGTCTTACTTCAAAGAGTATTTACCTAATAATGAATGAATTAAATTCTCCAAATTTTTGATGTTTGAAAATTGCACTTTCATGACCCATATGTAATGATATACTCTAATAATGGCTTCTATATATGAAGCCAGTGTTCCTTGATTGAATAACAGGCCAGATTCACCTGAGAAGCTTTGGAAAAAGCTAGTCCTCCTCAGATTCCTTTCACAGGCATCCTGCAGACATTCAGAGGAAGGGAAGACGTATTTTGAAAAGAGAAATACCTCCAGCATGATTTTGGCAGCACCCCACCGATTTTCAAACTTGTTCAACAAGATGGAAAGCAAACTGGCCCCTCACAAAGATGTCATTTGTTCAGAGAATGAAACACAGTTCTATCCAGAAAACTGTCCAATGGTGAAGGATTTCCCTTCCTAGCAATGCTCAGACATTGCAGCTTTCTTAGCACCTATCAAAAATTAATCATCATGTCAGCTCATCCTTAAAATTCTTCCAGACAGGAAGCACTGTCAACAAAACACACAGAAACACCCCCTCCTCATTCTCATGCACTAATTAAAGTTCTAATGTGTAGAATCAAATAGAATCACAGAGCAATACTTCACTGGATTATAATGCATTCCATTTTCTTTAACTTTATACTCTTAAAAGTGTTGACTGCTAACCACTTCAAAGAAATTAGGCAAACAAGGAAACAGTGGATTGTCAAAAACGTCTACCCTTTATGTCAGTCAAGCCTCTCCATGCCCCTGCTCGCTCTGTTCCATCCAGGGTATGTCTCTCTTTGCATCCCCAAATTGCTCACAAAATTTACAAGGTAGCAAAGGTCAAGTCATTACACATTTGAATGGAATCTTGAGTCATTATTTATTGCCTCACAAAAATACCAAGGCTTGGGATCGAAGAGATGGCTCTGGGGTTAGTATCACTGGCTACTCTTGCGAAGGATCTGGGTTTGATTCCCAACACTCACATGACATCTCACAACCATCTGTAATTCTAGTTCCAGGGGGATCTGATGCCCTTTTCTGGCCTCCACTGGCACCAGGCACATACATGGTACACAGGCATACATATAGGCAAAACACTCGCGTATATTAAAGAAAATACCAAGAAGCACCTATCACTCTGCTGAGTTACCTTATCCTGGAGTTCATGTTGGAGCAATAGGATCTGTGAGGTGGCATATGCAAGAGATTGTGACACTTGTCTAAAATTATTAGTTTTTTACCCTGTTATTCTTGAATGTATTTGAAAAAGACTTTCATGTAGAGGAATCTATAGACTGAATATCTTCTTCAATATATAAAGAAAAAATATACAGAGAGAAATCAAAGGGCTTCTGATTAACTTCATGCAAGGCACAAGCAATTGGTGGCTGTGAACATTAGCTAAGTATTTTTTAAATGCCACCTTGATATTTAAAAAAAATTAAAACTGGTTGTGTACTCGCTCACCCACTCACTAATTCCTAAAGGTGACTGAAGTGTCAGTGGTCCCGGGGTCGACTCCTCTACTGGAATTTAACCTCTAGGAAGGAATTCATTTGTGTGCTTTGCCTAGCCTTGTAGGAGAGGCTTAAAAAAATTAATGAATGGAATGATGAGAAATATAAATTAGCATTTATATTCTTTCCTTGGGAAATACATGTTAATAATATTCCCAATCAAATTTGCACACTAGTGCTCTATTATTTCAATGCTGAGATTCTCTTCATTTAGGTTAGGCAATTCCACCCACTAGTCCTTATTACTGTCACCAGCACACATCCCTACTTTCTTACCTAACATCTGACTCGCTCTGCCACTCTCTGCAACAGTATCTCTTAATTCTTCATGATTTCAGCATAAGCACACTTTGGAAGGCTGGGGTGATAGCTTGTTCAATACAGTGATTACCTTACAAGCATGAGCACTTGTGTTGAATCCCCAGAACCCACACAGAAATGCTGGGGAAAGAGGGACATACTTGCAGTCCCATTTTTGTGAAGGCAGAGATAGGTAGACCCCTGGAGTTTGCTGGTCAGCCAACCTGGCCAACTTGTTGAGTATGAGGCCAGTGAGAGATGCAGACTCAAAAGACAAGGTGGATGGTCTCTGAGGAACAACACCTGAGGTGTCCTGTAGCTTCCACACACACTTGTACATATGTGCATTACTGCACACACATACTGGATTTTGGAAGAAGTAGAGTTATCTTTCTGTGCAGTTGGCAACATTATACTTCAGAAAATAATTGAGGCTAAATGTGCTTTTGTAATGCAAAAAATGAGGGGAGAGGCTACAGTTCAGTGGTAGAGTGCTTACCTAGTACATTCCACCCCCAGTATCACACATAGGTAGCTAGGTAGGTAGGTGGGTAGGTACATAGGTAGATAGATGATAGATAGATAGATACAAAGAAAGATAAGATAGATAGATGATAGATACAAAGAAAGGAAGGAAGGAAGGAAGGAAGGAAGGAAGGAAGGAAGGAATATGCAAGCCATGAAATAGATAGGAACCTAAAACCTTTTGGATGGACTGAAATATAACTCAACTCATAATATGTTAGGTGTGTTTATTGTTTGATGGTGTGGTTTTGTCTCATTACATATGTTCTAAGTAAGCAAGGAATAGAAAGGGTAAGATGAGAGCCTTTCAGAACATAAATCTAGTCTTATCCAAGATTTGACTTGACACTCAAGGCACAATAATTCCCCCAAATAACTTTAAGGCAAAATTCTCACACACACTGTACTTTACCACCTCTAAAATTTGGAGGACTAGAGGGTATAACTCTATAACTCAGTAATGAGGGCTGGGGTTGTGGCTATAGGCCCTATGTTTGATCTGTAGCATGGCAAGAAAACAAATATAGATCCATTTTGTAATCAGTGAGGTCCTTACAGCCACCATATGCCAGGTGGCAATCATGGTATAGTGTTCATCCACAATTGACATTATTGCCCTTTCAAGTCATTACACACATTTTTTATTTATGTGTTGTATAGGGGCTGTTGTAAAATATACCTAAGGTTTTTTGAACTATGATTCAACACCAAGATGAAAAGTTGTTATGTATGCAAAAATGTGCCCAACAAAGCAGCAGGGTGTAAATTTGACATCAGTGAAGCAAATGTTCTTTGTTTGGGATGGATGCAATTCTGCTCTGCTCACAAAGCAGGCCTGGGCTGCTCTATGAGAATAAGAAACAGCGATACATACAAGCCAAGGACACCATTGTTATGTTTTACTACTGGAGAGTAAGCAAAATAATTATCTTTTTGATACCAAGCTATGCAACCCAGGTCAGGAGAATTTGCTGAGTCTTCCAGAATGGATGAAACAACTTTCAGGCCCTCATTGACTCCTGCCTGTCACATGATGTGCAAAACCGCCTTTAGATATGTTGTCATAGCTTAATTGCCATAAGATAGTGTATCTCAAAATTGATGATGTCTGAGAAATATATATATATATATATATATATATATATATATATATATATATATATATATATATATATATATATATATATATATATATATATATATATATATATATGTCACATATATTGCTTCTCTAGTGAAATGGTGAATTTTATATCCAATTTAGTTTTCTTAATTTATAGTTGTTTGCTTTATCCTTGTATGTGTATATTGTGGGTACATGCATGAGCACACTCACATGTACCCCATCATGCATGTGGGTGTGGTTCTCATCTTTCACCTTGTTGGAGACAGGGTCTCTTGTTAATTCACTGCTACATAAACCATTATGCTCCCAAGGCTTCTCTTGTCTTTGCCTGCCATCTCGTTTTAGACTCCAGGTCCCAGGCTTACAGTCCAGAGTCCCTCTTTATGTGGGTTCCAGGATCTGAACTCAGGCCTCACCCTTGTACAGGGAGAGCTTTACCCACTGAGTCATTTCCCTAGTTCTTTCTTTTGTAGTTTAATTAGCACAAGTTGGGTTCTTCTTCTGGATGGATTTAATTTTGCTTCTGACTTCATTTAACCTTTTCTTGTCTACACTAAAGGAACTGCGGTCTGAGGTGGAACTGGAAGTGCTAGGCGATACAGAAGGACTCAGCCTGACTTTCACAGCTCTCTGTAACAATGGTGTCCTCCTCTCACACCAGAAGAAATGCTCCCACATGAAAGTGGGGGATACAGTAAGTAGATACCTGTAGGGAATCACCCTAGCCCCGCCCAATAGTCCTGGGGCAGGTACCAGGTGGACCTAGGGACTCGCCCAGAGGGGCGTGGTGAAGGAAAGCCGGGGTGACGTAAGGGAGCTTCTTAAGGGGCTGCACGTGGGGACACTGGCCCTTTTTGTTGTGGCCGAGCTGGCTGGGTTCTATAACCTAGCTCTGGCCTGTGTTTTACCTTGGTGTCTTTTGGAATAAAGAGACATTAATCCTACACCTGGCGCCCAATGTGGGGCCCCTTAAGAAGCTCCCTTACGTAGATCTTCAATCAAACAAATCTCATCTAACATGGACTAGACATACCTCATTAGAGACTTTCCCTGTACTGGCATTTTTTTTTCCACAGGGCCCCCACATAACTATCATCGTCCCATTTCAGCAGGAAGTAACCTAGAAGATGCTACGCCCCCGTTCCCCATTATTGTGTATTAGGGTAGTGTAAGCCTAGTTAAGAATGACCTTCTTATTGTTTAGAGTTGGGATTGGAAGAAGGTGTTCAAGTAAGACACTTTTTCCACATGACTTTAAGACTTAGCTAGAATAGACATAGGATGTACCATAGCAGATTATTGTATCTGCTTGTATTTCACCCTTATGATTGTTAGTTTTGGATATTTTACACTATTAAGTTTTAATCCTCTCTTAGACTAACAGGGGAATTGTAGGGAGTCACCCTAGCCCCGCCCAATAGTCCTGGGGCAGGAACCTGGTGGACCTAGGGACTCGCCCAGAGGGGCGTGGTGAAGGACAGCCGGGGTGACGTAAGGGAGCTTCTTAAGGGGCTGCACGTGGGGACACTGGCCCTTTTTGTTCTGGCCGCGCTGGCTGGGTTCTATAACCTAGCTCTGGCCTGTGTTTTACCTTGGTGTCTTCTGGAATAAAGAGACATTAATCCTACAGATACCAAATAGATCCTTTGAAATATCATTCAGATAGGCCAGAAGCTATCTCATCTTCCTGCAAAAACTTCAACCTTCTCCTCCAGTCCCTACCAGCCTACAGGTTGCTGGGTGGAGGAAGCGGATAACCACCGTTTTCTTTTCCAGGCATCCTTCAATGTGACTGTGAGCATATCCAACTGTGAGAAAAGAAGCCGGAGCCTTACCATAAAGCCTGTGGGGCTGGGGGACACCCTGGAGATACTCGTCAGTGCAGAATGTGACTGTGACTGCCAGAGAGAAGTAGAAGTGAACAGTTCCAAGTGCCACAATGGGAACGGTTCCTTCCAGTGTGGGGTATGTGCCTGCAACCCCGGCCATATGGGTCCTCATTGTGAGTGTGGTGAGGACACAGTGAGCACAGATTCCTGCAAGGAGGCCCCGGGGCACCCCTCATGCAGCGGAAGGGGTGACTGCTATTGTGGGCAATGCATCTGCCACTTGTCTCCCTATGGGAGCATCTACGGAACTTACTGCCAGTGTGACAACTTCTCCTGTCTGCGACACAAAGGCCTGCTCTGTGGAGGTAGGATATAGCTCAGGATCTTTTACACAGCAGCTGTTTGAGGGCTTTTCATCTTTCATTCCTTACTCACATTCCTGGGCTTAGTCGCTGTTCAATAAATATTTGCCGATGAATCATTAGACTTGGTATAACTAGATTATCTCTTGCGTTTGCTGTTGTTTGTAACATTCCTTTGGGGTCAGATCTCTGTCGATTGAACTTACATTTACATTATATTTAAATATTACTATTTTTAAGGTTAAGTAGATAAAAGTTGGAAATGTCGCCTTTCGAGTTACCACCCAGGTTCCACAAAACTGCCTATGATCTGAATTCCATTGTCTGTCAGACTTTTCTAGATTAAGTTACTGGGTCTGACCCTATTCTTATATCTTTTACTTTGGGGTGGGGTGGGGAGAGAAGTTAACAGAGACTGCCAAAAGAACAGAACTGAGGATAAAGCACAGAAATGCTAAGTAGAATTAAGGGCCTTCACTTATTTTACATCTCTCTCTCTCTTTCCATATATATATTATTCCTTCCTCTCCTCCCTATCCCTCAATCTTTAGATTCACAGTCCTCCTGTCTCAGGCTCCCAAGCACTAGGATTATAGGTAATTATATCATACCTAGCCATGACTACTCACCAAATGTACCAAGTTAGGGATTGGTTCAAGTAAAGCTAGACACAAACACTTGTGAGAAAGCCTATGAAAAGAGTGGAAGTGGGAAATAGCTTGGAATTTCTTGAAAATTTCAAGAAAAGTTTAAATGTAAATATCTATACTTTTGTAACTTTTGTAGATATAAAAACAATATACTTTAAGAATATACTACAGATGCCAGATGTGGGGGTGGGGGCGCATGCCTTTAGTACCAGCACTTGGAGGCAGAGGTAGCCAGATTTCTGTGAGTTCAAGTCTAGCCTAGTCTACAGAGTGAGCTTCAGACCAGCCAAGACTACATACATAGTGAGACGCTCCTCTCAAACAAACAAACAACAAAAAGAATATACTTTAGAGGCTGGAAGGATGGCTTTGTGGTTAAGAGTATATACTGTTTTTTAGAGGACCTGAATTTGGTTCCCAGGATGCATGGCTTTTCTTCATCTATAATGCCCATTCCATGGGCTCTGATGCCCTCTTCTGACCCTCCATGGGCACCTGCACACATGTGGCATTCACTGTTACAGACACATATACATAAATACAAATAATAAAAATAAAGTTTTAGGGGCCCAACAGTTAACAGCACATTCAGAGAACCTTCGTTCAATTGCTAACACCATGTCAGATGGCTCACAACTGCCTGTAACTCCAGCTCCACAGGGTCAGATCCCTCTGGCCTGTGCAGGCACTGTACTTGTGTGCACAGACGCGTATATACAAATAATAAAATAAATAGCTGAAAATAAATCTTTTAAAAAGAGGAAAAGAATATGCTACATCAAACACAATTCAAAATTACTATGATATACTTATTCAATTATAACCTATTCTGTCAGGAACTACAACTATGCTGACACAGTTTTAAATCTGAAGGTTTAACTGGCTCTTGACTAAGCTTAGATGCCCTGGTTATCCCATGATGTAAACAGGCATCTCAACACAACAAAACAGCATCATCTTTATAGAAAACTAAGAAAGTTCTGTTTCCAAACCATAGTGTCAGCAGCATACAAAAGGCTAATTTTCTCAGTACTCAGGAGGTTGAAGTGGGAGGAGGATCAGAAGCTGAAGTCATGAGCAAATACATAAATGAAACAAACAAACCAAAAGACAAAGCAGGAAATGAAAAGAAAGAAAGGGAGGAACTTATTTTCGGAAAGGGGAAGGAAGGAAGGAAGGAAGGAAGGAAGGAAGGAAGGAAGGAAGGAAGGAAGGAAGGAGGCCTCAAAGAATTCCAAGTGTTTTGAAAAACCACATGAAAGCATTTACCCCAAAGATCCACTTCCCTCCCCCTTTTCATTCAAAGTTTCACTTTCTGATTCCACTGTGTAAGTGTGCGCGCGCACGGTGTGTGTGTGTGTGTGTGTGTGTGTGTGTGTGTGTGTGTGGTATGTGCTTCTGTACAAACCCACATCAGTGTTTTTTGTTTTGTTTTGTTTTGTTTTTGTTTTGTTTTTTTACTGGATTTAGACAGGACACAACCTGTAGGTGACAAGAAACTAGTCAATGCCAAAGCCATCCAACACCATAGGAAGCATACATTTGGTAGACACTCACACTGCCTTTCTAGTGCAATGCATGTTCTAAACGCTGGCAAATACGTACTGAAAGTCCAGGTGCGACATAATCTGATGTAACCTAACCTAATTTAACCTAATGGGGATAGTAACCCTCCCAATATTCCAGCCCCTAAACCCTGGGTTAAAAGGCCTAAAACAACAGCAATTGCTGGCACATACTCTACAACATAGTGTCCCCATCTTCATTTCTTTCTTTTTAAAAAACATGTGCAGGGCATCAGGAATACACTCAAAAAGAGTTTACTCAACCTATATACTGTATAGTTAGAGAGGTCAGACAATACTGACACTCATATCAGATGCAGGAATTGCAAGAAATTTTATTTAGTAAACAAGATTTCTATAGCTGGACTTGGAAACTCCCACCAGTGCCAAGTTCCTTCACACTGCAGTGCCTTCTCTTAGAGGTACAGTAAATGTAAACACAAGTATTCAAATCCAGCTAGGATGGGTGGAGTGGCCTCTGTGTGTCTAGGACTGTGCACAGCACAGGGATGGAAACTGTGCCTCCCTATGGACAGATGCTGCCCTCCCAGCTGTGATAGCCTGAAGTCACCAGACAAGCCACTCACAACTTGTGTGGATCTCACTTACACCATCAGTAATCGACTTGACAGCGTTGCTGCTTTTCTGAAAGGCTTTTATCACAATGTCTTTGTCATACAGTGTCTTTCGACCATTTCTAAGCACTCAGAGATAGAAGGCTCCATTGATTTTGTTTATCCTTGCCCAAATTCCATTAGTCTATTTTGATTCTAAGAGACTAGGAGCCACATCAGGCAAATGGCATTGGAGAAAAAAATTCTTATGATTATGCACTTAAGAGTTATTTTTTAATGGCATCCCAGAAAGATCTATCCTCTGAAAAGAGCCTGGTAATATTTTTCTGTAGCTTTGGTTATCATCTTGCTTATATATGAGATCAACACAAAGGTGGTGTTGTAGTGGCATGAACAAGTACTCTAGATGATTTGTTGCCCAAGGATATCAATTGGCACCTTCAGTGACCTAGGTGATGGTCCTGCAAGGCCAGCGGAGTAGAGCGTTTCTAAGTACTGAAAGGCACATTGTATATTTTTGCTGTGACAGTCTTTTTTTTTATTTTTAATGTTCCAGGAAGGGTTTTCTAAACTGCCAAGGAATTCTGTATGCAGAGATGTACTGGACAGCCTCTGGACATCTGGAATTGTACATTTATGCACTGTGCTAATTTTCAGAAGGAATTACAACCCAGAGCTTTTCTCTCTTTTGTAGATGCTCCCCCTTTCCTGAGGAAGGGGAGGGAGAGATATTGTAGTTTTCAAGATCATTATCCATAAACATTAATTATTGGTTTTCCCCCAAATCATTTAGTTTTGAATTCCTTGACTCAATTATAATTGCATAGGCTATGAAATGCAGCTGGATTGGGTCTTAATGTCATCGGCCCAAGTAAATTTAGATCCATCTTTTATCTGAAAAGTGTGCCACTTAAATATTATACCACATGGAATAATATATAGAGAAAACATGCATCTATCCATACCCACAGAGGATACACACATGTCAGGAGCATTCAGAACCCAACTTTGAAATGACTGTGGTTTGGAGCATTATATGAAGGACTCCTCTATTGTCAGTCTCTTAAGGCCCAGTGACAAAGTCAGAAAAGTAACTAACTACTAGAACCAAGTCTTCGGGAAAGAAGCCAGTCTTCCATCAGAGTGAACTGACCAGCATCTTCTACAAGTAGAAGTGTGCACTGTTTATTTATTTTTACTTTGTTTTAAATAAAAGAATAGAACATTTAGTAGTAATGACTGATTTTGCCTGCGAGTTCTTCCTCCTGGATAGCTTTTAGGAACATGTCCTCTGACCAGCCCTTGTAGAGCTCAGTTAAGAGCCAGGCACCACTGTAAACATGGGCATAGACTAACTTAGGTAATTGCAAATTTCACTAGAAGAGCAAAGCTTTCTGTACAAGATGGCTTTATGTGTGCCACCTTTTTTTTTTTTTCTGAAGGAAGGTATCTGTTAGGAATTTGTAAATAAATACTATTTGTTTGCAACACTGAATGCTAGTTTAGTATCTGTGGCAAGCACTCAGAACTCCATGGGAAGGGTACTTACCTGAAACACGCTGCTTACCATTTTAGACTGTTTCATAAGCCATTCTATGGCCTGATCCAGAAGGGGTTCTTGAATGCCACAGCCATCTTTACCATCGGCTCTGACTTGTGAATCGCTACTGTGCATCTTTTCATTGCCTCACATCCTTTTCTGTCTCTGAAATGAATGCAGCTCCCTTCTAACTATCTTTATCAGTGTGCACCTCCTCCTGCAATCCGAGTCTGTCCTGGGCTTCTGCAGCAGCATTACTCCCACCACCCCTTCCTCTCGAAATCTCCTGTGAGGAGTGGTTCTGTCCATGTTTTACAGGCTGATGTTCTCCAGAGGGCTTCATGCTCTGCCTGCTTGCCCGAGATGGCCTGATTCACAACTGCCTTACCTGAAGCCTTTCCCTAACAGATTCCAAGCCCCATCCTCCAGTCTCATGTGTATATTTTCAACTGCCTACTAAGATATGCAACAGTCCTTTCTCTCCCAAACTTAACAGAGCCATAGAGACTCACTGTCCAACCCACCCAAAGCAACTTTTCCTCTTCGGCTTCAGGACCATTCAGTCATTCAACAAGTGATATGCCAGGTATTGGAGTACGGCAGTAACCACAAGCCAGCTTTCACTCCAAGTTAAAAGGGAACCATGCTACCAGCTGGCTATCCAACCTGTTGACCTGGAGGGGATTCCAACTCTCCTTCTTCATGCTATATTGTTACCAGTCATGCCCTGATCTGAGCATTCCGGCTTTCATTGCTTATCCTTTCATCTCTATTCTCAAGGATGCTGCCATGAGTCAGGCCTCTGCTCCTGCAAGACATTTTCAACTGCCTTTCCTGTCTCTCATTTGACCTCTCTATGAGGTTAGGATATGTCTACACACATACCTATCTGTTCAAGTCACTGCTTTACATAAAATGTCATAAACTTCTGGGAAAACATTCTTTCTTTAGCCATGTGGCTTCTTATTCTCTCACTTCTGGGAGAATATTCCATGGGCTTTCCCATCTTCCCTTTGCCATAGCCATCCACACTATTGGTGCTGCCCTGTGAAACTACTATGACTATTGTACACATTTCCATTACCTGCTGTTGTTTTCTCTCTCTAAGACATGTGCGACTCCCTTCCTCAAACTCTTCTTAGCTTCCAAAATCCGCGCAAGCATCATTCCTCTTGAAACCTTCCCAAATCCCTGTTTAGTTTAGAAACTCCACCCTGCGTCATAGACTTGGCATAATGTATCATAATTAGCATTGGTAGTGATACATCACCAGCCTCCTACACTAGAGGATGCATTCAGTAACCTTATGCTGTTGAATTCTGCATCTCTGTTGCCAGGTGTACTCAGAGCTGGAACTATAATTGACTCTTAGTTTCCATTACCCACCACATAGCTAGAAGTCAGACGAAAAATTGGTGAATGAAATTAGGCTTATTGCAATTTGACCCACTGGGAAGAGGAGGAAAATAGCTCTCCTAATTGCTTTCCATCTTTTCTGGAACAGAGACCAGGGATAGGTAGATTCAGTGATGAGCAAGATTATCTCTATATCCCTTCCAGAGGGAGTGGCTCTGCTCCTGCTGTGACCTGGGCTGACTCTACTCTCTGCATGGGAGGAAGTCTATTACACTGTCACATCTTCTTGTCCAGTAGAATCTTTGGCACAGAGTACATGCTCAGTTAGGATCTGTTGAATAATGGATTTGTCAGTGCCTAGTATGTACCAATGGGAGAGCTAACCAGGGGATATGAACTAGAACTTTTCACCTGACCACAACCACTGTGCAAGTAGATATTTTTTATCCCTGTGCTTTTGAGGATTTTTCAATTATTCAACTCCTTAAACTTTCTAATGCTATAATTCTTTAATAAATTTCTTCATGTTAAATTTTTGCTTAAATTAGAAATAAAAGAAGAGGAAGAGGAAGATGAGACACAAGATGAGACATATTAGACATGTTAACCAGTTTATGATAGGCCGGGCAGAGTAGAGAGAGTAGGAAAGAAGAGAAACAGGGTTAATGGCTGACCGCCATGGCTGGTCACCATTGAGAGAGAGAGAGAGAGAGCGCATAGGTGGGAGAAGAGAAGAGCAGAGATGGAGAGAGTAGAGAGAGAGTAAATGGGCAGGAGTCTGTCTTTTGAAGGGGTCCTTTGCACCTGCGTGCAGACTTAGTTCCCATGGAACCCTGCGCTGACCAGGGTTCCGCCTGAGTGGATTCCGCCAGGTAACAGGGGCAGACCAGCATAATGCCTGAACCTTTCAATTCATGCGGTGGTGACCCCAACCATACAATTGTTTCAGGGCTACTTCTTAACTCTAATTTTGCTACTGTTATGAATTATAATGTAAATATATGATATGCAAGGATATCTGATATGTGACCCATGTGGGGAGTCACAACCCACATGTTGAGAACCACTGATATAGAGGGATGGGTGTTAATTCAGGTCCGCCCTTCATCTCCATCCTAAAACCCAATGAACAATTTGCCAAAGAGCTCTAGTGGGCTTATCTGCATGGTCTCAGTTTTACTGATTATTTATGCTGTTTGCTGTAAGTGATTTTCAGTTAGGAGGCAAATTAGTAAATACACATGGCCAAAAAAATAAATAAATAAAGCACCTACCTACCTATCTATCTATCTATCTATCATCTATTTATCTATCTATCATCTATCTATCTGTCTATCTATTATCTATTTATCTACCTATCTCTCTCTATTTCCTCTCTTTGCCTCCCTCTCTATCCCACCACAACCTTTGATAGTGTTTAAAGGTAAAAGGAGAAAAGAAAATATTTCCCATCCTGGACGTGGTTTGGGCCATAAGCAACAGAGTGTGCATTTTCTGTGTTGTCCAGACAATGGTGACTGTGACTGCGGTGAATGTGTGTGCCGGGATGGCTGGACTGGCGAGTACTGCAACTGCACAACCAGCAGGGACTCGTGTGCCTCTGAGGATGGAGTGCTGTGCAGCGGCCGTGGGGACTGCATCTGTGGCAAGTGTGTCTGCAGGAACCCTGGAGCCTCAGGACCCACCTGTGAACGCTGTCCTACCTGCGGTGACCCTTGTAACTCTAGAAGGTAATGTCTCTACTTCCTTTGTTCTCTTCTGTGACCAAAGTTTGAATGACATCTAGTAAACTCAAACCTCTAATTGTCCCAGCTGGGTTTGGTCTCCGGCATCTATCAAAACTCATAGCCTAAGGGCCCCTGAGATCCTCATCCTGGAATGTCAGTCTCTCACCTGCCTTTTTCTGGGTCCTGATTATCCAAAACCACAATGTCACACTGCTGCTAGAGACAGCATGGGGAGTGGAGCTGATGTCCTGTACTGATATCATCAGATGGCCTCTCAGTTGAATGTCCTGGAGGTACCCTGCTGACATCCACAGGCAGTCAGTTCCTTATCTAGAGATGGACATAGCAAGAGTGATCCCATCCTGGAAGACTGGAGGAGGCAGAAGCTTTCACTTCTCTCTCTCCTTATCAGCTTACTTGGCAATTCTGTGTGGTTATGCTTATACATATGCAGTGGTTTACTTTTGACACTGTTAGGATAATAACAACAATAACTAAATACAACCACATTTTTTTCTATTAAAACCAATTACTGGTTAGCAGTTTTACTTTACAAAATTGGAACAAATCTTGTAGGTCTCCTCAAGCAGTACTCCGAATGACTTGTGAGGTCTCAGTGTGCCAGGTTAGCAACAAATAAGATTAAGTAGTTCATAGTTTCATTAACTCTGATTGCTGGGATAGTGACATTTGCATCTGTGATGTAAACAAGGAAGAAAATCAATTTCCCCAGTGGTTACCCACCAAGCAGGTGTCAGGACTTTTCTGTCATTTTCCCTAGCAAACTGAGACACATGCCAGGCATGGTGCTTGATTTAAATGTCAGCTGTAGTTCAGTGACAGAGTGACTTCCTAGAATGCGGAATCTCTGGGTTTAATCCCCAGCATTGTCACCAAGAAAGAGGTTAAATTTTCCTTGAGGTGTTTCTTTTATTGCTGCTTTTCTAGTTCATCTTTGTTGTAAACATGAGTCAGCCTTTACCTGGTTTGTGAGATAAGAAATTAACTGTTGTTAGTTTGTTTTTACTCTTTACTCTTTTTTGGGGTGTGGGGCTGACACCCAGCTCCCAAATAAATACAGGAAGGCTTAGTCTTTCTTATGAATGCCTGGCCTTAGCTTGGCTTGTTTCTAGCCAGCTTTTCTAACTTAAATTATCCCTTCTACTTTTGCCTCTGGGCTTCTATCTTTCTCTATTTTATATACTCTTCTTTACTTCTTACTCCATGGCTTACTGTTTAGCTGGGTGACTGGCCCCCTCCTCCTTTTTCTCATTCCTCGGATCCTCCCTTCCCAGATTTTTATTTACTCTCTCTGCCAGCCAGTCAGCCCTGCCTATCCTTTTTCTTGCCTTGCTATTGGCCACTCAGTTCTTTATTTGACCAATCAGATGTTTTAGACAGGCAATGTAACACAGCTTTAAGAGTTAAACAAATGCAAGAGAAAAGAATGAAACACATCTTTACATCATTAAACAGATATTTAACACCATGAAAAAAGTAACATATCTTCAAACAATATTCTACATTTCCCCCTTTTATCTAAATAAAAATGAAAGGTTTTAACTTTAACATAATAAAACTATATACAACAAAATAGTTATCAAGTAAGAATCACATTTACAATATTCAGTTTATTTGTATTTAGAGAAAATACTCCATTATCTATCCTATCTTAGTGAATTGAAAGCTTTATACCTAATTTACTTTCTGTAATAACTAAAGAAAACTGCAACTATAATTACCTAGTCTTCAACTCCATCAAAGCCCCAGAAGGATATAATATTACCTAACACAGAGACATCTGGCTGCCTGGACAGTCACCCAAAGTTCCTCTGCAACACTGGGGCATCCATCCTCAGTGTATAGACCTCGAGTGTCTGGAAGACTCTTCTATGAAGCAGGAATTTGGAAGGACTTTCTTGCCTTGTTTTGGCAAAGTCCAGCAGTCACTTTCTTGTGTGTCTTGCATGTCCAGTTTATACAGCATACTGACAGGCAGTCCACGCAAGAACAGTTTCTTGCCCAAATGGCTAGCTTTGCCACAATGAAAGCAAACTCCATAAGGAGTTTCTTCAATGCCCATCATCTTCTCTGAAGTATATTGGTGCTGCCAGGAGCAGATGTGTCTCATTGTCATTAAAAACACTATGTTAACAAAACATTTTAGATGTCATATTCTTTAGGTCTTTGAAATATTTGAAGACCATCTAGCTATCTAAAATATGTCTCAACATGATCTTGACAATGTACTTAACATATCTACAAATTTGATTATTATAAATGACTAACTACAAACCTGTGCTTTTTGATTATCCTAAATAGTTTATAATAATAGCTTTCAAAAACTAAAATTTTACCTTATATTTAAAAATGAACTGCATAGATGCAATACCTTAAACAAGAGTAGAAACATATGTACAGTGTAACAAAAATAACTTTAAATTTGTTTCACTGTATTAAAATCATGCCAATGCAAAATATCTGAGATTAATAGTTGTCTTTTTATTTTATATTCTCCTATTTCCCTAAGTGATAACAAACATCCACAAGTCATCAAATAATCAATAAGCACCCACCCCACTTCTTGAGAATATAGGCAACGTCTTCTCTAGACTGCTTCCTGTTGTCTGTGAGTGAAGGCATTTTTAGGGGTCCCTGAGAAAAAATGAGATGATGGCCAAGTCCGGGAATACTAGTGGTAACCTCTGCTGATATATACATTACCTGTTAAGTTTCAGGAGGTCTACTCCATTAAACCTGATCCATATCAACCCTGAAGGAATCCATAGTCTCTCAGCTCCTGTGGGAACAAAAGAAAATCTCATCTCCAAAGCGATGCATCTTTTAAGTTCCATTTTACAAATATATTTTTTTAACTTCCATTTTAAAGTTAAGGCATTCCTGAGGCATACAGGCTGGCTTATTTCAGCTGTCTCTCTTTCAACCCCACGTCTCTTAGCAGCTGTTATTTGCTTATTAAAAAATTCAAGATCAATATAGCAACATGTAGGATCAGACTTGCTGTTTATTTCCCATCTCCACGTGGCTTATTCCTTTTTTATTATTGTATTTCTCTCTTTAAAGACTTTATTATTTTTAAACTATTTGTATCTTTCTATGACTGTCTATACCCATTTTCTTTTCTTTCTTAAGCTTACCCACATTGTAAAACATACTGGAACCTATTAGAGGTTTTTTTTGTTTGTTTGTTTGCTTGTTTTGTTTTTGTCTGGACCTCTTTTACTGTATATCTTAGAGGTTTTGGGGGTTGGGGTTTTTTTTTGTTTATCTATTTATTTTTTTCTTTTGACCATGTGAACAAGCTTTAAACTGCTAAGCTACAGCTGGGTCCTCCTCCAGGCTCTATCACCGACTCCATCTGGTATTACATTCCTATCAGCCTAGCCTAGAGCTTGTGGCCCAGACGGAAATGCGTTTGACCAGGAACTGCATTCAACCCCCAGCTATGGAATGCTGGTGCCCTGAACTATGGCAGGCCTTTTTCACTTAGTTTTTTGTTTCTACTTATTGTTGCAAACGGCTGTTTAAGTGCTCGGCTCTACAGCAGGGCTTTTTAAAGGAGCTGTATTATTTTGCACCTTTCCCAGGCTCTATGGGTATTTGAGCATCATGTTGGTGTGACAAAATGTAGCTGGTTTTTATTACTCTTTGGCTCTTTGAGGGGCCCGCCACTCAGATCCCAAATAAATACACAGAGAGACTCACTATTACTTATGGATGCCCTGCCTTAGCTTGGTTTATTGCTAGCCAGCTTTCCCTAACTTAAATTACCCTATCTACCTTTTGACTCTGGGCTTTTACCTTTTTCTATTTCTGTATATCTTTCTTTACTTATTACTCCAGCTGGTTTTGTAGTTGGGTGACTGGCTGCTTGCACCCCTCTCCTTTTCTAGCTCCTCTACCCCCTGCCCCCTTATGTTTTTCTCTTCCTATTTATTCTCTCTGCCTGCCAGGCCCACCTATCCTTTCTCCTGCCTCGCTATTGGCCATTCAGCTCTTTATTCGCCAAATCAGGTGTTTTAGACAGGCAAAGTAACACAGCCTCACAGAGTTAAACAAATGCAGCATAAAAGAATGCGGCACATCTTTGCATCATTAATCAAATGTTCCACAGCACAAACTAATGCAACACATCTTCAACTAATATTCTTCAACAATTAACAATAAAGGTTGTTCCAGTTTGGGAATCAGCATCATCTACTTGATGTTGACATTACTTTTGAGATGAGTCTATTCTCCCTTTTATTCAGGCATGTGTTCCTTTACCTAACAGGATTAAGTACCGCTGTACGTCATCAATGGTGACAAGTCATAGGCAAGCAGTAAAAAGGTTGTGGTCTCTACCTTCATAAGTGCTAAGGGTCTAAGGGAAAAATAGGATTGTATGCTTTGCATGTGTATATGTATGCAGAGTGTGTGTATGTTCGCACATGTGCATGTTTACATGTGTATGGTGCACATGTATGTGCTGTAGGGTGTTGTAGGCAAGAAGTTGTTTGACATCAGATGTCATCCTTGGTCACATTCTCCCTTCGTTTATTATTCTGAACCCAGAGTTCTCCAATTCCAGATAATCTGGCTAGCCAACTTGCCACCGATCCCTTGTTCTGCTTCCCAAGTGCTGGGATTACATGTGATTGCCACACTTGGATGGTTTTTATGTGGACTCTGGGGATCTGAACTCTGGACCTCGTACTTGCATGACCAGCTCTTGAGCCACTGAGCCATCCCCCAATCCCATACTTTTTTTTTCAAGTAATTAACAGATATGTGGGCTGCCAGTCACAATGGAAATGTAGAGGATGCTGTGGATAGACAGTGTTGCTGGAGCAGTCACAACGAGGTGCATAAAGGAGGTTTGGAAGGTCTCTACAGTGTGCTGCAGGCCCCCACCAAACCTGCCCAATATATTTAAAACACAAAAGCCACTTTGAGACAAGACTTGTGCTCTCACTCCCACACTACCATTCACAACAGTAGCAAAATCACAGTTATGAAGTGATAAAGAAATAATGTTAAGGTTGGAAGTCCTCACAACAAAGGAAATACAGCTTCAGTGAGATCCTGCGGGCATGAGCATTTCAAGTCCTTTGAAAGATGCCCATTCCAAAGGCATGATGGACCGCCCGCCACAGGAAGAAACATTTGCAGGTTTGTCTTATACCAAACTGAATCTATTTGTTAAGTTATTTGTAGCACAAGTTTAATTCAAGGCCCACATTTTACTTTGGTTTATAGACATCTTTAAAGTAGTATGATTTCCTTGCATCCTTGGGACTATACTTTCTATAAGCAGCAATCTTTTATTTAGAAGCTTGAATTAATGAAGATCTAAGCTATAATCCTGAGCTTTAGAAACCCACTATCAAGGCTTATACTTATTCAAAAGAGTAACAGAGAATTGAATTTTATAACAATCGCATTTGACATATTCAGAGCACTCGTCCTTCTTAGGATTCTTGCTGAGATTTGGATCAGGTGGGTTAAGAAATTCATAATTTTGTCTAGACTCTAATCATATTTATGGATATAAACACTCTCTTATGTTGAAAATGTGAAATGAAAATATAGCTAGATCAAACATTGAAGTATTTTCTTCTTAGCCAATCAGGAGCCACCACTGTAGAAAAATGAGACTGCCTCAGGGGGCGCTGATTATGGAGTAGACATCAGACCCATTTAGCATCTTCCTAGATGTCACCCAACTCTCTTTCCAAAAGTGCTAAGAGTCAATTTCACCAGTTAGAAAAGTAGAGAATCGTGCCAGCTGCATGCCTGTTCTCCACCACTATGAGCTGATGAACTCTGTTGTCCCCTGCAGGAGCTGCATTGAATGCTACCTGTCTGCAAATGGCCAGGCCCTAGAGGAGTGCATGGAGAAGTGCAAAGCCACCGGAGCCGCCATCAGCGAGGAAGGTGCTCCTTGTCTTAAATCACATAGTTCCGAGAGGCAGAAACTATGTCAGTCCAGGGACTCCTAGTAATTTGACTTCACTTGTACCAGGAGCTAGGGGCGAGGGTTCTCTGCCCCGCTTTGAAGAATGAATGCATTTTTCTAAAGCTAAAGAAATAATGCAAGAAATAAGCAATTTAAAGTCATGGCTCTTCTATCAGTCTTCAGCTCTGTTAGCAAGTTCACCCCTGCCTGACAGGGGTGACTAGGAAATTCGACAAGGCTGTATTTTCCAAACTAGGAAGAAGGAAATTGAAGAAATGGCTCTTAACTGCCACTGACAGCCTGAAATTTTCCTTTATCATGGGATTGCCTTATTTGAAGATAAGATAAAGCCTGCAGTAACAATTTGCCTGACTGCACTTTACAGATCCTGGAAGTATTCTGCTACGGGGGTAGCTGGTTTTGTCCAGCCTCCCCACCATCCTTCCATCCCTCTTGACTCCTCTGAATTCAAGAAGTCCCTCTTCTAACTGCTAAGCAAGTCCAACTCCTGCTTCCCTCTGTCATGTTTAATTATTTAAAACGTGAATCTAGTAGCAAAATCGCATTCCAAACTTTCAACGCAACTGTATTTTAGCTGAGCAGGAAAGGGCATTTAAAAATAGGAACGTGGGAACTTTACAACAAAGATGGCTCACTCTTCCTAAAAGGACAGTTGGGACAATTTGAGTTTAGAGCGTCATCAACTGCATTAGCTTTCTGCACCAGCATGACTCTGTGTACTTTAGAGGTGTGGCTGAGGTGTAGCTCAGGCAAAGAGGAATGATCGCAGGATAACATATGGCCTGTAAGCTACATATATTGAATAGATGGAGTTAGAAAATAAACATTAATGCATTCACAAAATAGAATATATAAGGACATATTTTGTAAGTACTTTGTTTCAAAATTGTAGTGATGCTACAGTTGAGTTACTGGGTGTAGCAGGACACGATGAGTGCCCACAAAACCCCTCATCTGTGCTTTTCTGATGAACAAAGATAAATATGCCCAACAGCAGCAAATTGAATGAGATGTTGTGTGCTTTGTCTGACACCAAAGGTGAGACACGTAAAAGCACTGAGCAAAAGCAGCATTTGGGGAGTGTCCACATCAGTAACTGGTATGCATCTCAGTGTATGCTCCAGGCTCATTTCACAGCAGTGGGGATACTTACCAGCTGTCTCTGGTAAATGAGCAAAAATTGCAGAAAATGCCTGCAAATGACTAGAAGTCAATTCACCAGCAACACGGGAAATGCAATATGCTGAAAAGGAGTGAAGCAGCAGCCAGTCAGGCACAGAGGTGTGAACAGGGCAGTCGCTGTGTCCAAGTTCAGAGTTTTCAGAGCAGATTGTCAAAGATGCTTGGCTTGGGAGGGAGGGGGAGCCTAGCTTACACAGCTTTTAGAATATTTATGTCCTTTTGTGTTTGACCAAAGTATCTGTAAGAGAAAAGGATACTGCTGTTTCTAACTTGGAAAATGAAAACAAGCAGTGGACGATTAACACACTCTAAGCACTAATCCTAACTTGACTGAACACGAGATCTGGCTAACTGCGATTAAAAGCTACCTTTCCAACAGACTCCTTATAAATCCTGTTTTGAGTTTCTAGCCCACTGATGTCATTCTCACACTAGTTTGAAAAGGTGACATTACATTTGTTCGTCTAAGGGTCTCTTAGCCCCTATTTTCCTCTGCTGAGGACACGGAGTAAACAGATATACTGCATAACTCATATGAATTTACCCATTGTGTGTGTGCGTGGGGCAGGCAATCTAACATTATTCATTCCCTTTTACTGAAAGAGTCGTGCTTCTTAATTTACCCCACTATTCAGACACTCAGATCATTGTTACTTAAAGTCTGTTCCACCAAACACCATCTCTGAAAAGTTCAACAAAATAAGGCACCCACGGTCATATACATATTAGAAGTGTATCCACAGTCAGTCATATACATTCTGGAAACAGGAAACTAAGGACCCAAAGCTTTGCAAGTCTTCAGAATAGCTATGTACATTAAATTAAATATGTGTGTAAGTCTCCAGGAGGGGCAGGAGAGGCGGTAATGTAAACAAGAGATTCCCAAATGTATCTCAATATAGAAGCACTCCTCCCAACACACATCACCACCACCTTTGGGAAACTGTTTACTTCCAGAACTGTTAACTGATCCCAGAGCTGATGTCTTAGAACACAGGGTTGAGAGTCAACAGCACAGACATATATGTCTTCTACATTCTTCCTGGACTATCTCTCCACCCCCTACCCCCTCCATCCCCTTACATGTCTTCCTTCACTAAGCATGATTTCCCTGGCTGCCTGAGATCTTCTTTTCCCATATTATTCAGTAGTAGTAGTAATTCAGGTCTCACAAAGAAAGGGGAAAAAAGAAGAGAGAGAAAGAAAGGGCCATTTTCTATGAACAACAAAAGAAAACCTTAGCAGCTAATTATGCAAATCTTTCATTGCACGTCCGATAATACTATTTCAACACCCAAACATGACAAAACAGGACACATCTAGCCTGGGAGAGTTGAGAAAAGGAATGGTGGAGTAATTAAAGCACAAGTGGGGAGTTGTGAATCAAAGGTCAGACCCGAAGTTCCATCAAAACCTAAATAATCCTGGCCAAGGAAAGAAAGCCTCTCAATGCTTCAATGTGCTATTTAAAAGGAAATGAAGAGCAGGATTAATATTACTGACACGAGGATGCCAAGCCAGCCACATATGATCAACCTGCAAGCCGGATGTCCCATTAAGTGCCATTGCTGTGGCGGAGACTGAAGAAGGAGAATGCTCCAAAATGCAAAAGCATGCTCCCCAAGACTTCAGGATCTTAGTTACTGGAGTGGAAGTTAGGCAGTGGTGAGGTGAAGGTCATATAAAAAGGGCCAAACTCTGAACTCAATGAGGGTGCCTGCCATTTACCATCGAACACAAGAAACAACACAGACCATGCTCACCCAGAGTTGCCAAAGAGCTTCCCAAATCTCTTCATCTAAGACATCTTATTAGAATGCTTATTCTACTAAGTCTAGTAAGCGCCTAATGCCCAGGTCCTGTGCACATCACAGTCCCTCCCATTGGAACACCAGGGCAGCGTCCCCAGTCCCAGATGAGTCAGATGGTTGTATGCATATGGATAATTTGCATTAAATTTCTTAATATGCATATGAACATGAAGAGGTGCTTCTAATGAGTTCAAAACCAATTTAGTTCATGTAAATCTATTGTACAAAATCTCATTTAGAATGCTGAATCTATTATTTACTGGTTCTTGTTGTCATGGCATATTAGTCATAGGTCCTATCAAGATTTTCTCTCAAAAATTAAATGTGAAGACAACAAATCATGAAAACTTAATATTTCTATATTTTATGACTACCATTTCTGTGCTCTACACGGCCTTAAATAGGCTATTTATTTTTCTTCTAAACACATGCGCTCGCGCGCGCGCGCGTGCGCACACACACACACACACACACACACACACACACACACACACACACGATGAATTCTGTTAACACCTTTAAAAACTTCTTAAACTGCCCCAGCAGACAGAGGCAGGCAGATCTCTGTGAATTCAAGGTCAGCCTGATCTATGGAGTAAGTTCCAGGACTGTCAACACTTTTCAGAAAAAAACCTGTCTTGGAAAAAAAAGAAAAAGAAAAAAATTCTTAAACTAGTCGAAAAATCACACTCTAGAAAGAGTGGGCCCAAGCTTACATGGGACAGTTTGATTTTCAAAATCAATTATAAAATTAATTGATTTTGGAGCATTTTCTTAGAAGTTTAGGTTCCGCGTAAATGTTATTTTAAATACAGGGTTATGAAAAACTGTAATAAAAAATTTCCAAATTAGAATAAAAATTATAAAACTAATCTGTTTTGCTTTAGCTCAGAAAATGTTAGATAAATTAGGCAGAGTAGCTGGGCCATCAGAATATTTGATGTGTGAGCTAAGCATTTTTTAAATTTTTATTACCACAAATAAACTTTTACTACTAATTATTATCATGAAATTCATTTTCTAACTCTTAAATAAGCTTCACAATGAAAAAAAAAACATTCTATTTGGGATAGATTTGAGGAAAAGCTGGGTTTCTTATTAAGAAAGAAGGTACACTGCATGCCAGACAACTGTTATCTTGGGTTCCTTTTAACCTGAGGCTCCCCTTTATCCTGCTGGTCTCTGAGATACATAACACCTCTGTCTCAGTTTCCTGATATTAATTTATTCTCACCATGTGACAATACAAAGCAGCAATCCTGGCTGCACCACTGTGAGAAGCCCTTTCTATTAGTATCTGTATCCATCTGCACCAAGCCGCAGTGTAATCTAGCCGTCCCCCCAGATGCTCTGATCAGAGAGTAACAAACAGCCCCCTCATTACCATAATCATGGCCATTCTATTCTCCAGGCAGCTGTGGGCACCTGCCCTGTGCTGTGTTCATTCAACTGAAATCTGCCTCCATCAGATCGATAGGTAGTTTTGATGGTCAGTCCTGACTGACCACATCTGGAGCTGTTTTGGAACATAAGTAAAACCAAAGATCTCACTTGGTGGGAAAATCCTATGCCTTGCAATTCCCATTTGATAGTACTGAAAATCCTAATTTGCATATTGAAAAATTCAATACTGCTTTGCTTTAAAAAAATTATCTCTTTTGAAATCTCATTTACCCTAATGAATGACTCTTTCATCTGCAGATTTTTCAAAGGATACTTCTGTTTCCTGCTCTTTACAAGGAGAAAATGAATGTCTTATTACATTCCTAATAACCACAGACAAAGAGGGGAAAACCATCATTCACAACATCAATGAAAAAGGTGGGTAGCTTGTGTTCCTTTGTCGTTGTCAATGTTAAGTGATACCACCTTGTAGAAGGAGAACCAGTCACTGCAGGTAGCTTGCCAAGAAAGACATTACAAAGTTTGGGGGGAAAGACCCTCTCAAAACCTTGGTTGTGTTCCCATGTCTTTTATTAAAATGAGGTAACATAATGACTTTCATTGTACCAGGCATCACCTCCTTGACAGCTAGCTACTGGCACTGTAGAAAGGTGGACTGAGAAGACAAAATTTAGCAACAGGTTTGTCTTTCCGAAAAACTAGGAGGAAAGAATACAACAGATCTTAAGGCCAAGTGTAATCGGTGGTTCAACAAACTATTTTGTTGTGCAATCGCTGCCTGATTGTGGGATCTACTTGCCTCTCCAACCCTCTATTTCCTCCTCTGTAAAATGGGAAAAATAATGCCACAATCTTTTAAGAGACAACTCAAGGAATACATGGAGCAATGAATGTAACAAAAGAGGCCTCCCAGCAATGGTTCATTAAATGATAATGTTGGATCAGGAAAGATACAAGGCAACAAATAAGGGTGTGACTATAGAAGATGTCAAAGTGTCAGGACAGGCATCATACACCTATAATCCCAGTATTCAGGAGAATGAGGCAGGAGGATTTCTTTGAGGTGAAGTAGCCTCCACTGAATAATACCAGATCAGGGCATCCAAGAGCCCATGGTTTCTGTGCTTTTGTCTGTTTTCAACCATGTCAACACATGGAATCAGTTTCTAACGTAGGAATGCTCCAATAGAAATTTCATCTCCAACCAAGGGAAAAGACAAGTTTATATTATATACAAAGGAAAGCAGTAGAGAACATATCTATAAGATCCTTTTCAAATTGTGTGGGTATCAGACTGCCCTGTAGTTTATCTAAAATGCTTGTACCCTGAGTCAGCAGGCCTGTGTGCACTGGGGTAACTTAGCACAGATGGTCCAAGCCCTCTTTTGGAGCCACTGTGCTAACAAACCCCAGCTGAATTCTTAAACACACACAGGTGACTCACATTTTCTGTCTTCAGCAATGACCTACTCCTCCTTAAAATGTCCCAGAGAAGTGACAGCTTCATTAGATCTGACCTCATCAGGCTTGGGTTTGGAGCCTAAGGTCCAGCCCAGACAACAGCAGCACACACAGGATATAAAGCAGATGGGTTTTGGTGTGCGTGCTTGCTTTCAATGTGCTGACAGAATGTCAAGCCCTGAATTTAAAACCAAAGCTATCAAATTAGCATCACCCCAGAAGTGGAAAAGATGATACCAAATACCTGCAAAGTGGGTTTAAACCTCATTTGCAATCAAGAAAATGGTCAGAGAAATGTGAATTACCATGCCAAGGGCAAGACAGAGCTGGAGGTCAGGTACAGCCAGGGACATTGGGGGATAACTGAACATGCTTCTGATGCTTGTGAGGACAGGGTGCTCCCAGCAATAGGCATTTAGAAACTCTGTACACATTTCTGAGAAATATGAACACAAACTGCATCTTGGCGTCATCTGCTAAGAAAATAAGGTGAGTCATACTGTCCAAAACCAGATTGTTTCATAATACAAAAAACAAACCCATCTCCTGACTATGAGCTTTAGAAAGTCAGGTCTCCTGGCTGCATCCCATCACCATGTTTGTAATTGTGATACTGACTTTAGCATGTTACCCTGAAATCACCTCTTAACATACTGATTCTATTGGAAAACCACACCCCAACCAACAAAGCGACTTTCTGAAGAAGGCCTGGCTTTCAGTGTGTGGGCTTCTGTGCCCAACTGACTTGATTTTCTTTTTGTCCTTTCCTTTTTTCCCCTCCCCTTCATCTGAGAAATGCTGTCTTGTTACCGGACTGTTTTCTATATGCTGATTCACTCAGTATCTTCAACAACCCTATAAATCACTTTTCCCCTCCCCTTCATCTGAGAAATGCTGTCTTGTTACCGGACTGTTGTCTGCTCTTTCATTCTTGTGCACAGTGTGAGAAACACACCAACATGCAACCCTTCTGAGCACTCACAGATGTCCAGTGCCTTTCTATTAAAGTGTCTTTCTTTCAGAGTAAGGAGAAGGGAAGGAAAAACAGCCTCCCTGAGATTTCACAAGATCTCCTGGTAGGCCCAAGGATAACTCAAATGCCCCATTCCTGGGCAGGCCTGGTGTTTGCAGAAGCCCCAAGGCTGTAGCCTACCCCCAGGAGTCAGGAGTTCCTTCCTCCCTAAACTGAGACCTGTGGCTCTGAAATTACAACTGGGATAAGAAAGAAGGTAAAAGGAAAAGCAGGGGAAAAGAGGTTAATGTCTCCCAGTGTCCTCTAAGCAAACTGAAAAGGGAGCTGGTCCAGCATGCTCTCTGTTGCTGAGGATGCAGGCACAGCATTGCATCACTCATCTTCGTTCTATATCTGGATAGAACAGTGGTTCTCAACCTTCCTAATGCTGTGACCCTTTACTGCAGTTCCTCGTGCTGTGGTGACCCCCCTCCCAACCATAAAATTATTTTGTTGCTACTTCATAACTGTACCTATGCTGCTGTTGGACCCCCTAAAGGGGTTGTTACCCATGGGTTGAGAACCACTGGGACAGAATGTCCGAGCCTACAGGTCATGCCTGATGTAAAAAAATGACAGCTACTGGGCTGGAGAGATGGCTCAGCCATTAAAGGCTAGACTCACAACAACAAAAACATGACAGTCGAGCCTTCTATGCTGGACAAAGCCAGCATGGTGTCACATTTTCAAATTGTGCTTGGACAATCCAGGCCCTTGCCTTCTGAGAGACAGACAGGGGAGAGGAATGAATCTGTTGTCACAGTCTCTTTGTGTATGGGGCCTTACTAAACACATGTCACTCCTCATGTTTTCTATATGCTGATTCACTCAGTATCTTCAACAACCCTATAAATCAAGTACTGGTATTATCTTTGTCCTACAGGTGGGGAAACTGAGGCATGAAAATAACTACATTGCTAGGTCTTGCAATAATTAATCCCAGAACTGCTTGTCTGGCTTAGAGCCCAGGCTTTTACCCACTGTACTACACTGCCTCCCACTGGCTACACAACTGTAATAAATATCTGAATCTAAAAGATGTTGTCCAATAGGACTGTTGTGCAAACTCTGTATAAAATATAATGTTTTCCAGAAACCACATTAAAAAGTCAAAAAAGATAAGCGAAGTTAGTTTTCTTTACCATTGTACCTAAAATATCCTCATTTCAACATGACATCAACATAAATATTATTATATTTTTCATGCTTGGACTATGAGGTAACTAATACTTATAGCACAACCTGATTCAGATGTCACATTTCCAGTGCCTGACAGCCACATACAGTACAGCTACCTGCTTAGTCAGAGCTAAGAATTCCGTATTCAAGACCTCAGCATTAGGTGCAGCAGTGACCCAACTTGACGGGCAATATTGCACACAGGAGTAGAGCTAACCCTCTCCTCCCTCTCGGTTGCTCACTTCAGTCTAAGCACTGGAGGAATCTCATGGGGAACATGGAAAGAGAGGTCTAAAATCTGTGCTGTGATACCTGCCTTGGAACTTGAGCTAATATCTTTTCTTGAAAAAAATCACAGTATCCTAAGACCTTACATTCTTAAAAAGACTTAAAAAGCCATGTCTTCTCCTCTGTGAGTCCCTACTTCAGCATTCTCCTGATTCACTTTCCAGCTGCAGGTCCTAGCAAGCTGTGTCTTGCTGTGAACAGGACCATGCTATGTTCGTGCCCAGACATTTCTTAGTCAAAAATATAGCTGGATCGGTATATTTTCTCAGGGACAGAGCCGTGCTTCATTTGCTGGCTACAACACAGCCTTTAGCTCTTGGTACTATAAGTAAATAGGCCATTATATTCTGCTTGTTTCTTCATAATGTACTTACATGGTTTTCCACCCCAAAAAGTGTATGAGACCAGGAGTTGTGCTGCTGGGGGTCATTCAGATTCAGGTCTGAGAAGCTTATGATCAGTCCTCAGTGTTCAACTCTCCAGTATTAACTATCTAAGAGTGACATTATGGAGGATAGCCTGGTTCATTTCTCCTTCAGATATGGTCAGGTGTTGTCTCACTTCTTGTGGAAGGATGCAGATATTTAATGATCAGTTGATGTGGAATTTCTTCCCAGGAAAGCAAGAGAAGGTCTTAATTATAATGCTCCATTAAGAGATCTATCATCTTGCTGGCACGTTGTAAGGGTGATCAGTCATCTTACTGGCAACGGAGGAAGGTGCACTGTAATTGCAAAATTACATTAATACCATTGATAGAGCCCAAATAGCATTTCATGGAATCTTCAAGTTGAGAATATCTGATGCCCTACACTTCCCTGGTCATAAGAGAGACGTAGGTACCTTTAATAATATATAACCTGCAGTATTACCCAAGACCCCACTGAAACAGTATCTTGGCTCCAGAGGGGTCTAGAAGGTGATTTTGTGATTTTGATAAGCAAGATAACCTCAGCATGTCACAGGGAAATCAAGGGAGCACTGTGCTTTATTTCACAGATGAGGTCAAGGGACTCAATGATGAAAACCACACAACTACTGTACATTAGATGAGAATTGAACCTGCTCTCTTCTAGTCTAGGAACAGCCAGGAAATCAGACACTGGATAAAACAGAAAACTACAATTGTCTTCTGTTTTCACAGGGGGAAGGGGGAAGGAGCCTGCAGTATAGGGCAATCTTTTTAGATGGAACATGAACCCTTGCACATGCTAAGCAAGTATTCTACACTTCCAGCCCTTGGTTTGTGAGACATGGTTCCACTGTGGAGCTCAAATTGGCCTTCAACATGTTCTGACTCTGCCTGATGAGTTCTGGGATCACAAGCATGAGTAACCAGGCTGGATTAATAATTTTTTTGGTATTTTCGAGACAGGGTTTCTCTGTGGCTCTGGAGGTTGTCCTGGAACTAGCTCTTGTAGACCAGGCTGGTCTCAAACTCACAGAGACCCACCTGCCTCTGCCTCCTGAGTTCTGGGATTAAAGGCATGCGCCACCAATGCCCATCTTAGATTAATAATTTTTAATATAATCCTAAAACTGTTCATGACTCAAGGAAATCCTTGACAAATTAATTGTCACTCTGTTGTATTAAAATTTTAAAGTCAACTGCTTGATCAGATTGGGTTCAGATCCTCCTGTGCCAAAGATACTAAAACTTGTGACTACTGAAGGCCTTAATACTTGCATAGAATTTATACACATCTTCCTATACACCTATAAGTTATAAGTTACTTACAAAAAGTGTTGTGGGTATTGAGATGTAGTTCAATTGGTAGAGTGCTTGCCTAGCACACATTAAGCCCTGTGTTTCAATCCCCAGCATTGTATAAAACCAGGTATAGTATAAAACACCTGTAATCTCAGCACTGGGGAGGTAAAGGCAGGAAGTTCAGGTGTTCAAGGTCATCCTTGGCTGTAGAGTTTGGGGCTAGCCTGGGAATGGAAGAGATGAAAGAAAAAAAGAAGGGAGGGAGGAAGAGAGGGAAGGAAGGAAAGAAGGGAGGAAGGAAAGAAGGAAGGGAGGGAGGAAGGAAGGAAGGAAGGTAGGAAGGAAGGAAGGAAGGTAGGAAGGAAGGTAGGAAGGAAGGTAGGAAGGAAGGAAGGAAGGAAAGAAGGAATGAAGGAAGGATACGAAACCCAATGCAATGTGGCTGCTATCTAAATATATATTATACTTGCCATTTAGAGAGCAACAGCAAGGGGAAAGACTGGACATGATCAATAAAGAGATATTTTTCAATCCATGGTTTGTTGAATCTGCGCATGGAAAACCAGAGATAAAGAAGGCTGGTTATAAATTAATGTTTGAATCGTTTTGAATCTTTTATTCCACTGAGAATAAATACAAACCTATCTTTAAACAAGTAGCTCAGGTTTAGAAAAAATCAACAGGACAAGAAGGTATTGGTATTTCCCCTCTCCTGTAGAAAACATGTGACTAGAAAACCCAGTAAGAAAGGTCTTTCCATTCTATGAGACGGGGATGTAGCTTAGGAGAAGAATTGTACAATATGTTCAGCGATCTGGTTCAGTCCCTGCATTGAAGTTGGGGGTGGGAAAGCTTTCTTACAGTGAAATACTAATTGTCTCAGCTTCTAAAGATGATTTCATCTGCTCCCACAGACTGTCCCAAACCTCCAAACATCCCAATGATCATGTTGGGAGTGTCACTGGCTATCCTGCTCATCGGAGTTGTTCTACTGTGCATTTGGAAGCTGCTGGTATCATTTCACGATCGGAAAGAAGTTGCTAAATTTGAAGCAGAACGATCAAAGGCCAAGTGGCAAACGGTATGTGAACTCTGGAGACCTTTTGGAAATGATCAGGGACTCAGCCATGCCCTGTAGAAAATAAGAGTTCAGATGTCACTTCCATGACCACTCTTCATGTAGCCCCAACAGCTTTCATTTCATCTTGCTTAGAGTGCAGAAGAACCCATTATCTGGTGCCAGGTTGTCCTCATGACACCCGGTGCCTCAGTGTGGTGGCCTTGTAACACCTGGAAAGGCTCATGAAACTCCTGCTATGGTGATTTATGGCTTTTGTGAGGCAACCTCATTAATAAAGCATAGGTTCTATATCTAGACATTTCTGTAAATCGTATTCTAGCTAATTGGATTAAGTTCATGGAGAGTATGACAGCCCATGCCAATTTCCATGGAAATACTTGTTGCTGATATAATGAGTGACAAAGCAACTTTGACAGGCCTCTTTAAATACCATGCATTTTTTCCTGAATAACATAAAATTTAAGCAGCCACATGAAATAAACCTTTAAATATATGTATTCAATGATATGATTTAAATGTCTTCTCAGTAGGCAAATAGAAAACAGAACTACAATTTTCAGGAGAGATAATTACATTTCTAGAGACCCCTAGAAACAATTTCATGGTTTTAATTTCATCTCTCAATCTCTAATGGTGTGTCTAGCTATCTAATAGCAATTATCTTACACCACTGATTCTAAAAACAACAAACCCACTGGAGAAAACACAGGCAAACAATGTGCCTTTGGGTTCATCTGCCTAAATAAATTGATGTTAACACTATTTTCCCTAAGCCTATAGCAACATCCTCAGTTCTGAAAGCAAATGGAATTTTCCATTTTTGATAATGAATGCTTATATTTAGGGGAATGATTTCAAACTAATCATAATGTACATCACAGGAAAAAGCTAATAAAAATTTAATCTACCTTATCTTTTGGACAAAAATGCTTTAGATAGAATAAACAATACCATCTATGAACCTGGAAGAGTCCTGACTTGGGAATCCAGCTCTAAGATTATATTTTTAAGACACCTAGAAAAGGCTGATACACTCTGGACACTAGATGATAGCAAGGATGGATGTTGAATTTGATCAGATTTAACCAAGGCATGGTGACAAACTGCATGCATAATCTGTGATTTTTAGTGAGGCAGACTGAAGTATGTAGGAGTGAAGAGAAATGGCAGCAGCTGTTGGGGTTTTAAATAATTCAGACAAAAGTTCAGGGGCTCCCAAAAGTTTTGGTAGAGGTACAGGTGAGCCCCAATGATTAATTTGTCCTAAGAACAGTCTTTGCTCGAAGCTTCTGGAAATAACAAGCCAGTATTCTGATTCTACAAGCAAACACTTGGCTATTTTGTGATGCATGTCTACTAACCAGCATATTTTAATGTTCTCAGATTCAGGCATGAGTGCTGACAAATGATTAATATCTTTAGAATAACATTTTAATTAACAGTTAATTTCCCCCCAAACATGAATTGTTCTCCCTCAGGAAGCTAAACATGACTGAAATTCAAATGCCAAAATTTAGCTGTTTCTTCATCTAAAATGGGACAAAACCACACATTAAACAGATAAAAGCATAAATGGAAAATATTATTCTCCTGTTAAATTGACTTTCTTTGAATAACAAATGTTTGATGTTCCTGGCTAGATGATGACCAGGTAATAATTATTCATTTGCATGCAAAAGAGGTTCAATTCAATATTCAGTCCAAATTTCACTAACACATCCTCCTCCTGGGACAAATATATGCTTGGTGCATACATTTAAAGGTCTTCAGTTTAATTCAGTTTTTAATCTAAAACCTATTTCTTCTCAAGGGGTGAACTTAAAGGATCTTTAAAACACAGGGACAGAAGAAACAGGGAGGTCACCTGACCCATCAGGACCGCTCAGACTCTTAAGGGGAACAGAGCGGAATACAAATCTCTAACCTCATGAAATATTTTGTAAGGACTATAGAGAAAGGTTACCTTTTATTACCAAAACAAAAACACAAACAAAAAAAAAACCCTCAGCATTTTTCTTCTGAAAACACAAATGGAAGATATTTAAATTCATCTTTGATTAGACAATTTTTTCTCTTGGATGACAAGTCATTAACTTATAGGAAAAAATATGTTTAGCCTGACATTTCTTGGAGCCATGGATTGATTTTGCTCTGTGCTAAGCAAATCGGGCCTGCAGTTGGCAGTTAGGTGGTCATTAAGGAAGCTGTGGGTTATGATGGAGCTTTCTGGGTATCACTTTTGTTCAAGCCTGAAAAATGTGCCACTAGCTTTCCAGAATCCATGCTTAAGTCAGGGCCTCATTATTCCAGAGAAAATGCCTGGAAAATACTTGGTCTCCTTACATACTTAGAAAGAACTGGCCTTGTCTAAATGTGGACACTCACCCACTCTAGATCAGGCCTGAGTCTCAACTGGACATCCTACAAAGGTCGGTCAATAATGAACATGGCACTGGCCATTTCCATACCTCCTCACAAAACCCAACCCTAGCATGCTCTCTTGAACTCTGATCACCATCTGAGGTCAGGACACACCTCCTTCCACACCTCAGTAGCAGTGTGAACTTCTTTTCTCCAGTTCACATATCTTCCTTACCTTCCTACTATGGTAGAATCTTAGTGCATTGACCCCACGCAAGCGGCCCCTGAACTATTCCAGACTTGAGTAAATGAAGTAGTTTAAAAAGAAATGAAGAAACTGCACAAAAGTGAAAGATTAACTATCTACAAAATAACATTGTATTGCCCTGTCTCTGGAAACTTTAGTCATCCCCTTTAGAGTACTATAAAATCTATTTTGTGGAGTTGCACAGATGACTCAGTGGGTAAAGCTTGAAAGCACGTAGACCCGAGTTCATATTCCCAACACCCATGTAAAAGCCAGACCCAGTAACTCAAATCTGAAACCCTAGTGCTGGAGGGACTAGAAACAGGCAGATCCTGGGGCTCACTGGCCAGCCAGTTTAGTCAAAATGGTGAGTTCCACAGCACTAACAGACTATCTCAAGTTGGGGGAGCAATAGAAGAAGACACACAGCATAGACCTCTTGCCTCCTATACACATGCCACACACAGGCAAGCATGCCTGCATACACATGTATAGCACACACACACACACACACACACACACACACACACACACACACACACAAGTTCTATTTCATGTGGGAAATAGGTGCATTTTAATATAATTGACAGATATGGGGTGGGGCCTACAAGCAAATACCCAGTCCTACAAAGACCTAAGGTGGCCTAGATCACAGCCAATTTATTTGTCCTATTCCCTATCTGCCCCACCTCTTCAGCCCAGACTTCAGCCATCATCCCCACCTATAGCACCTTTTTCCAATCTTGTCTCTTCAATTGCTTTATCAAGCAATTTCTAGTCCTTAAACTTCATAAAACTTCTGAGTTTTATTGTAAATGATATTCTAAACCTACCTGAGACTGCTTAAGTTAGTCTTAATCTTTAAAAGCTCTTAATGCTTATGGCAGCTGGATTAACTATCCAGGTTGATCTTAGGAGTAGAGACAACACAGCAGCCTGGCTTTCACCCACCATGGACTCTAGCCAAAGAACTGCTTTTACCTACCCTCAGCACAGAGATGGCATCGGTCTCTCTGAAGTCATATGACCAAAGGCAACATGGCACTTGGTCAAAGGTGTTGACACTGTACAGAAGCAGTTACTGGGATGGTTCTTACTCAGAGGAGGTGCTACTGTGAATAGAAGGGCAAGGAAGATGAGGTCAGGAGATGTTTTTGTTTCCCTCAGTTCTTTTTTTTTTTTTTTGGTTTTTGGTTTTTGAAGACAGGGGTTCTTTGTGTAGCTTGGGAGCCTATCCTGGCACTCGCTCTGGAGACCAGGCTGGCCTCCAACTCACAGAGATCTGCCTGCCTCTGCCTCCCGAGTGCTGGGATTAAAGGCATGTGCCACCAACTCCCGGCTTCCCTCAGTTCTTCTGATAACAAAAACAATTTTGTTTTGTCAGGTTGTAGATGCAATTTCTTCCCCTGGGAAGTTGTAAACTATATCTACCCTTCCTCCTAAAGTCCCATGATAACCCAGGCCCCAATCCATCAGTGTTTATTCTGGAAGACCACTGAGTATATTGGGCTTCTTCACAGGGTATGGGGGGGTAGGGTAGAGGAGACACTACAACCGTGTGGGTGTTCCTTCCAAACAGCCCTGGAGATTACTTGTCAGCCAGTCTAGTCAAGTCAATGAGCTCCTGGTTAAGGTGGAGACTCTGTTTCAAAGCATAAGGCAGAGAGCCAGGGAGAATGGCTCTGTGGCTAACTGAGCTTGTAACCAAGCCTGCTAAACTCAATTTGATTCTCAGCACCCACATGATGGAAGGTGAGAATGGCCTCCAAGGTACCCTCTGACCTCCACAGGCGCACTGGTACATGAATACCCTCTGCTAAGTAATTAAGTATAATAAAATAAAGAATAGTAATTTTACAAGTGTAGATATGCATGTACCATACAAGAAGTGAAATAAAGATGAATAAAATGTATCAAAATTATGCAAATAGCTTCCAAGATTGAACCTGACTCTCCAATTTGAACTACAGTGCAAACCTTTGAAGATATTAAGGTGGCATAATAACAAAATGTATCTCCTTTTTTTTTTTTTGCACCTTTCCCCCTGTTCTTTAGGGAACCAATCCGCTGTACAGAGGTTCCACCAGTACGTTTAAGAACGTGACCTACAAACACAGGGAAAAGCATAAGGCGGGCCTTCCCACAGATGGGTAGGCAGACCTACTTCGACCAGAGAAAGTCAACCTCATACCATTAAAGGTTAATGCACTGTTTGATTTGTCTTTCTTTGTTGCTTCAAAAGCAGGTTGACTTAGGGTAATAATAGGTCATTGGAGATCAATCATTCTCAGCATGAAGGTGAGACCCCATTGGCAGGTCTAAGAGAAGAATATCCTAAGCGAAGAGGTGAACTCAAGATGGCTTCAAAAGTATGAACTGCATTGCATTGATGCCTCAAAAATCATCAAAATGATTCATGGGGACTTGACTTGCGTTTGAAAAATGTTCAGAATTAGAATCTCATTTGCTTCCCGAACCCAGCTACCTAAAGTCTTTCTCTCAGCAAAGTCATGGAATCCTTATGCTTCTATTATGTACACACACTGACTGCTTTTTCTAAACTTACAGAAAATCTCCCATTTCCCAAAGTCTGCTTGTTTGTTTGGGCTTTTGGTTTTTTTGAGACAGGGTCTCTCCAAAAAGTCCTGGCTGTTCTGGAACTGACTGGGCTGGCCTTGAACTCACAAAGATCTGCCTGCCTCCTGGGTGCTGAGATTAAAGGCATGCTAGATGATTTTTATTTTATAAGTATGGGAAATGAGGTTCTGGTTTCCCATCAGCAGAAAGAATATAGTTCTTCCAGTAATATCCCACGTGAAAGGTTGAAAACTAAATGTTAGTAATTGCCTTAGATTGTATACTTACAAGTCATGTACACAAATAAGTGTTTTGTTTCACAGATGAGGAAGAAGTAATTTATAAATTATGTTGCTACTCTTATATGCTCAATTTCCCTCTTGTCCCCACATTTTCCCCCTATTCTCCCTTATTTCCTAATTATTTCACCCAGTTTTATAGTCTTCAAACTCTTCACTTGTCATGTGAAATTGTCCATCTAAAAATAACTTCAAGTTGTTAACTTATCAAAAAGTTTTTCAGGAACATAAACAGAGCCTGGGGTAATAGAATAAAAGGTCACATGGCTTTACATCAAGAGTATCAAGACTGCAGGCGTCCCTCATGGAGTCTGCACTTCCCGCTGGACATTGCTATCCCATCGGCATCACCCAGTATTCACAACCCGGGTTCATGGCATGGATGTGTCACTTACTTGCTCTAGCAAGTAAAACCACTTACAAAATCTGCAATCCAGTAGAGATTGGCGAGAACATCTCCAGAGAATTCCATTTCTTATGGTCGCCACTGCATCATGAAGCACTTTGCTGTCACTGGATCTCCACAGAGAAGCTGAGAGAATAAGCGAAGAGCTGGAGACAGACTCTGCATCTCCTAACTCCAACCCTCTGATCTCTTTACTGCATGTGACTCTTTTGTCAGTAAAATGATAGAAGGATTGTGTTAATTATGGTCTAATTATCTTAGTTTGAAAGTATACTGAGATGAAACAAAAAGCACTTAGGTCCCTGGAATGCGGGCCAGTTGCTGTATTTTTGTGCAGTGTGTATGGCCTTGACTGGATAGTCCTGTGAAGCCATTTGGGTGAACAGCTTCATCTTAGTGGAGGCTTCATGCTTGTCCACTGAATTGTCACTTAGTCTCAAAGCTCCCTCACTCCTCCCAGATACATCTGTGTACGTTTTGATTGTCTGGAGTCTTGCTTTTCTGGTTTTGAAATAACTCAGGTAAATTAGTCAGTTAGGGAGTACACAGCTAAATTTAAATGAAAAATCCTGATGAATCTCCTTGGATACCTGAACAGTTCAAGACCTTGATGTCTAGAGCAACCTGCAGAAACACTCCCAGTAATATAGCAGTACTGCCACCAGCATTACACGGGGCTGCGTTTGTGTTGTTGCTGAAATGAGATTTTAGAAAATAGAAGTCTCTTTCATGTGTGTATTAGGAAGAATTTGTTCTTTCTCTAAATACTGTTTTGACCTAAGGCAGGACCTTGAAAAGGCCAAAACATTAACAGTAGGGCTTCTGTTCACTGAAGATGATGTTACATGATGACGAGATGGTTGTTTTTTTAAGTGGTTTTTATTGTATTTTGCATTGGCAAAAATAAACATAATTTAAACAATGAACCTTGGTTGGATGATAATGCCTTTTATTTACTTGATACCAAACCCTGTTTTTACATGTCTGGGTCCTTCTGTGACTTACTTTGACTTGCTTTGGTGATTTCAGTCAAGGATCAAGGAGAAGAACAGAACATTATCCCACATGTGGTAAAACCAAGTTCTTAAGGATTGGTGTTATGGGCTTAAATATTTCTCCTGAATACTGTCCCAAAAGAATCATATATTAACCCCTAGAATCTTAGAGTGTGACTATACAACCACAGATAGGATCTGTAGAGAGGCAACTAAGTTTAGGTGGGGTTATAGTGTAGGGCCCTAATCCGACATGACTAATGTCCTTTATAAGAAGAGGGGAGAGGACAAAAATGCACACCAAAGGCAGACCATGACACAGTGAGAAGATTGTCATCCATAAACCAAGGACAAGGGCCCTGATGTTTAGTCAGGGTACTTTGTATATATACCTAGAAATGATATATATGGGTCAAACAGCAGTTCCTTCTTCAAGTTTTTTGAGGAATACCCATATTGACTTTTGAGGAATACCCATATTTTGCTGTACAAACTTACATTCCCACCAACATTTGCTCCCTCTCTCCCAAATTCATACCAGCATTTTCTGTTTATTTTCTTTATAATAATTTATGACATAAAATCTTAGTGTGGTCTTAATTTGCATTTGCATGGTAGCTAGAGATATTAAACATTTTTCATATATTTATTGGTCATTTATGTATCACCTTTTTTTTTTTTAGACCTGTCATTTATGTAGCACCTCATTATCCCATTTATTAGTTGAGTTGATTAGAGCGTTGGTGGTGGTGATGGTGGTTGTGGTAGTTGTGAGGTGTGTGTGTGTGTGTGTGTGCGTGTGCGTGTGTGTACATACACATGTATCCCATGAGCTTTCCCTCAACCATGTTAACATGTCTATTGGTGTCATCCTTGCTCAGGTCTTGTTACGGAAGCCATATTGAGACTTTATAGGTGTAGTTTCTGACATTTCTAGGAGATACAATCTCACAGCAAACTCCCTGTTATTCTGGTTCTCACAATCTTTCTCCTCCTCTTCTGTAATGATCCCCAAGCCTTAGGTACAGTAGTTGAATCAGTTGGGACTGGAGTCTACAACTCTGCATTTTAATTGGTTGTGGTTTTCTACAATGGTCTCCATATGTTAAAAAGAGAAGTTTCCTTGATGAGGGTAAAAACTATATTCATCTTTTCATATAATGATAAATATTTAGAATATAGTCAGGGCTTGTGTTGGTTAGTAATGTAGAATTAGTAGGTTCTTCTCCAAGATCAATGACTTCACTAGCTCTGGGTACTTGACTAGGTTTCCAGTACCAGGCATGATTTCCTTATTGTTGAGAGGGTCTTAAGCACAATTAGAGAGTTGTTGGTTACCAGCAATGTATGTGTACCACTATTGCACCCTCAGAATTAACATGTCAGGGTTGTCATTGTTGTAGTTCATAGGTGTCATATCTAGGTAGAACTGTTAGTTCTTTCCCTCCTTTGGAAGCTGTCATGGTGCCTTCTGGTACCATGAAAGCTAGTCTTCAAGGAGCAGGCTTTCAGGTCAGTTCTAGCTCAAAAGCCTCTCGGCTGTGTCTAAAGTACATGATGTCTTCTTCAATAGGGGTTTATCTTCTACCTCTGAGGGGCTGTTTCTTAAAGACTAAAGCTCCAAATTCTAGAAATCCAATACCTACTGTTATTTTGGATAGCACTTACTGTGGTGGTATATTGTTTATGATTTAATAAAACCACTGAGGATCAAAATGCAGAGCTAGCCTCAGTCATAGAGCCAGGGCAGTAGTGATGCACACCCTTCCCAGCAGCCATACTAGCTAGTCGTACAGGACAGGTGCTGGTGGTACACACCTTTAATCCCAGAATTTGAGAGGTATTAAAGGAAGAAACAAAGGGTCTCATGTGAGAATTAGTCTCCAGCCACATTGAGGAGAACATAGCAGTCTGAGATTGCAGTCTAGGGCTTGATGAAGAGCAGTGCAGTCAAGATTACACTCTAAGGATTCATGGAGACAGAATCACCCATTTTGGTCTGAGGTAGAGGTAAGAGCTACTGGCTGGCTGCTTTGCTTTTCTGATCTTCAGCTTGAACCCCAATATCTGTCTTTATGTCTTATAGTTCATTTAACTATCCCTGGCACACAGTAAATCAATTCAATAAATATTTATTTATGTATAGTATATGTCCAACATTCTCCCTATGGCAATGGATATATTGTGAGCACTGAACAAAACAATTTGTATTCTTCCCAATGTGGGAGACAATAATATATAAGTAAGTATGGAATGTTGGGATAGTAGACAAATTCCTACTTATCTCACTTGGCCCACCTGCCTCCCAGGTCTGAGCCGGAGTAATCCTGGCAGTAACTGACACAGTCCCCTCGGTAGTAAAACCCAACTGCAGCAGTTCCTAGACTATGTTCAGAGTGGCTTTGCCAGTTGCTGTACTAATGAACCACATAACACAACAGAACAATGCAGGAGAGGTTGCACCCAAATGAAACATGCAGATACCCAAAAAGTAGAGATGGGAAGGAATCAGAAGACACATGGGAGCTGAGCTACCAGAAGCAGTTTCTGGGGATGAGGTCACCAGCATCCTACAGCAGCATCGTGTGTTCACCATCTCCCATCTACACTTCTGTTTTTCCCCGGGATAGTACCTCCAACTAGAGCAGCATCACAGAACTTTGTTTGCCTCTAGCCCTTGTTTTATGGAGAGCCTGAACTGCAATAACCCAGCAGCGCCAGGAGCTATGCAGAACATAAAGCCATATCATGATGTGTGCGGAGGCAGAGCTCAAATTTTTGAGGCAGGGCCTGTGTAAGAAGACAGTGAGCAAATGCAAGGGCAGCAGGAGTCACCACTGTCATACTTAAGAAAGAACAAGGTGAACTGGAGAAGAAAGGGAAGCAACTATGTACTAAAAATGGAACCAAACTATTTGAACTGTTAAAAGAAAAACATTGGGTTTTTTGGACATGGAGCTTTAAGGTTCTAAGCTTTGCAATTCTTCCCAGTGCTGTTGTTCAGTGATCTCACTCATAGGAACAGAGTTCAAGTCAGTTGCCATCTAGGTTTCTAGAAAACAATATACTGTTTTTATTTAAACACGGTACGTACCACATAAGGGGGCCTGATTCTTCTTCACTATTGCACTTACTAATAGACTATCAAAGGTTACATTACAGCCTCAAAAAAGGCTAAGTATTCAGATTTATCTCTTTTTATTTCTAGAGAAGAAATTGAGGTTTATTTGGATTTGGTTTATTTGTCATTGTTTTCATGCTGGGGGTGGGGGAGGGTTGTCATGGCAACTTTGAGAGGTTCTTTTGTTATAAAGGACCTAGGTAATAAGGAAATCAAGTTTTCAAAAGAAGAAAGCAATCCTAGGCCAATATAAGCTGCATATTACTAAGCCAACACAAAGAGAGGAAAGAAACAACTGGTTTGGCTAGGTTTGGAGAAGTGTGGAAAATTTAGGTAATGCTGAGAGTGAGACATCAGAGGTGGTTGGCCACTTTTCTCCCCCCCCCATGCTTTGCTCTTTGGAGGCCACCACCCAATTCCAAAATAATCACACACGTACGTTTTGCCTCTAAGCTTCTATCTTTCTCTATCATATGTACCTTTCTTTACTTCTTACTCCATAGCTTGCTGTGTAGCTGGGTAGTTGGCCCCTGATGTCTTCTCTCCTTCTCCTCAATCTTTCTTCCCAGATTTCTCTTCCTATTTATTCTCTCTGCCTGCCAGCCCCACCTATCCCTTCTCCTGCCTAGCTATTGGCAGTTCAGCTCTTTATTAGATCAATCGGGTGTTTTAGACAGAAAAGTAAGTAACAAAGCTTCACAGAGCTAAACAATGCAACATTAAAGAAGGCAACACATCTTTGCATAATTAAGCAAATATTCAACAGCATCAATGAATGTAGCACATATTAAATTAATATTCTACAGCAACTTATTTTTAATATACTCATCATTTTGAGACACTTATCCTCTGAGTATCCCAGCCAGCAGGTCTAGATGTATGGTAAGAGCAAGAAAGCCAGTTATGCAAGGATTTCAATCCATATGATGACTTTCATTTACCCTTCAACACTGGAAACAAGTATGACCTGAAATACTCCTCTGAAATAGCCCCCACAAATAACATGTCTGACCCAAATAACCTCCCCAAATAACTGAAAGTCCTCTGATTTTCTACTTTTTCTTCATCTTTTAATTGTCCATTTCTTCTACAACATTGTACAAACTCATGGTATTACAGAAGCAATCCCACTAAGAGCATTGTTTAACTACTAGAGAAAGTTGACCTTCAAAGTCTTCAATTAAATGTTGATCCAGGCTGGTGTTACATCTCAGTTGTAAAATATTTGTCTTGCATGGGCAAGGTCCTGGGTTCACTCCCCAACAATTCAATCCCCCTCTTCCCTAAAATGTTGATTATTGATAATTATTCTCTACCATTCTTATAAATTTTATAAATCTAAATGGGAAAATACAGCATTTCTCTGGAGGAGAAATAGGAACTGAACAAAATGTGGTAAGTAGAAATAATTTCATTAGGATTCATTACTCTACAACAGATTCAAGCCAACACAACAGCAAGAAAATGTGTTTGGGGCTTGACCGTGGCCATGGCTCCCTTAACAAGGCAGTTGAACTGAGAAGTTCTGACACTAAGTGAGAAACTCCATATAAGGCTACTACTGGAAGGGTATTGGTAGTTGAGGGGACCCACACATTGGACAAACACATTGATTCCTTTGTGTTGCAGGCTCTAGGGGGGCTGGATGCTGCCCTCTGTGCTGGTAACTTGGCATGCAAAATCACCCTGCATGGAGAAAAGTCTGGGGAACCTGATCTTTTATCCTTTCCCACTCAGTTGCACAGTTGGCAAGGAACTGTAACTCAGAATGATTCCATCCCATGAGCTTGCCCATAGATATGTTCTTGGG